ATCCTCTCCACTGCCTTGTGGTCGACATCCAAGACCAGGTGGGTAGCGTTCCGAGGTACACCAGCGACTGCACAGAACAAGATGGCGGCTTGTGTGGACAAAGAAGTAGTTGAGTTCCCGGCGCCAGCGTAGAAGATGGGGTGGAAGTCTTCGATGCGAATGCGAGCCTGGCACTTCTTTGCCCCACAGCGGTGCACCCACTGGCTTCGGTCCTTTCTGTACTCGAGCTTCCCCAAGACACCTTTCCCGCATTTGGGGCAGAGCTTCCCCTTCCACTCAGGAAGGATGCGGTCTTTCTTCAAGAGGTGGATCAGCCTGATGCCCTTCAAGGACAAGAAGTTCATGACCGATCTTCCCCACCTTTCCCTGTGAGGCCTGGACTTCATGGTCAGGGTGCCGTGGCGTACGTACGGAGTCTTGACCGCGTGAGCCTTCGTACTTGCTGGGCGCTTGTTGGCGCGCGCTTTGCCTCTCTTTGGCTCAGGCCAAGGCGCTTGACGCTTGACCGCACGCTTCATGACTTTTTTAGGCATGACGCTACAAAAACAAAGAGTGGCTACACTGACTCAGGGCCAAGATGCTGTCAGAATGAGCGTGCGCAGTGATGCAATACCTGGAGGCAAAAGCAGACAAGTGACAAATGCATCGGCCTTTTCGAACTTGCGCGCTTGCAAAACTGCTTTCCTATCTGGCACCGCGTCTACTCAGCCTCATCACCACTGTTACGCTGAAGGTCACCACCGTGGTCAAAGACATCTTCCTCAGACGCCACGTCCATCTCCTCGATCTCGGTCTCAGCGGGGAAAGCCGAAGCCGAAGCCTTGAGTTTCTTGTTGGGCGGACTCTCCAAGTCGATGACGGTGAGGTGCATGGCCGACAACTTACGGGCGAAGACGTTCGGCTCCTTTTTGATGAGTGCAGGCGCTGGAGGAGCGGAAAGTGCTGAAGTAGAGGATGGAGCAGGCTCTGCAGCAAGGGGCTGTGGCTGCTGATCAGGAACTCGCACCTGGAGGATGGTATTTGGTCCGCTGGATCCAAACAGCCTCCGCGATGCCGAGTAATCGATTTCCACTGGCCTTGGCGGCAGGTCGCGACCCTTGTTCTCCATGATCGACGTCATCCAGGCTCGTTCCCAGCGAAGATGAAGGTCCAAGTCGGCCGGCGCGCTGCGATCACCCTTGCGGTACTGCATGTACTTCAAGCCTCCTGAGCTGCGCAACAAAGACTTACTTTCATCGAGGCGCTTGCGTTCGACCCTCACCTCTTTCTCACTAGGAAGACGCCAGTAGAGGAAGTCGTTCGTGATGAGCAAGACACACGTGCGCTTCATGACCGCCATGACGTCAGAGATTGACGAACCCTTCATCCACGCCGGCTCAACCATCTGCATGAACTGCTGGTGAGAAATGGAATACCCTGCGTTCTCGAAGGAGGGCTCTGCGGCGAGATCGATGTCGTTGGACATATAAAGACGCAGCTGGCCCTGCGGGAACTTTGCGGCGCCCCACCTTTCTTTTGTGAGGACCGTGTTGCCCACGTCGCAGAAGCCCTTCAACTTCCTCATGGGCTGTTCAGCCAGTGAGCCATCGTCAAAGATATCCGGACGATCTTGGCGACCAGCTTCACCTCTGAAGAAGTCGAACTCGCAGGCCTCGCGGAAGCCGGGCTCGTTCTTTGAGTTCAGTTTTTGAACCCAGTAGCGTGACATGGCCATCGCAATGGTGCGCCCAAGAGGCGTCTTGCCTACGTTGGGGACTCCATGCATGCCGCAGGCTTTGTCCGTGAAGCAAGGAAAGATTTCCTCCAACACAGTCAAAACCGAGGGCTCCACATCCACGAGCGTGAGGGGGAAGTCATAGACAGGGAGCGCCAAGACGCCGTCGTTCATGAGGTTCCGCAGAGCTTCTTTGATGAGCCGCTCCGGCCAAGTCTGAATGGGACTCTCGTCTGAGATGAACTGCTTCGAGATCCATCTCAGCTGCGTGTTGCTGTGGTGGGTTCTAGGCCCATGTGCCTCGATGAAGTCGAAGCCTTGGTCGATGTTCTCTTCTGTGAGGCCCTGGAAGAAGTTGTTGTTTTTGTTGTCGGACTGCATGCCACCGTTGCCACTTGCCTGAAGAGCAAAGGACTGGACCTGGAAGCCACCCATCTTCTCCAGCATGTACTGGATGGCCTTCTTGGTATTCTTGGCATTGGCTTGCCAGGAAACGGTATGAACTTCTCCATGACAAAGGGTGGAGACGAACTCAGCCTTAACTTGATCCGGGAAGATGATGTGCTTCAGGAGGAAGTGCTGCGCATTAGGAAGAGGAAGAACAACAAGTTGAAAACCATATGACATACCAGGAGAAGTCTTCAAGCGAAAGGGCGCTGGCATGTCCGCAAAGCGGCCATCCTTAGCCGCGCTGCTGACTTGAGATTGCAAAGTAGCATCGAAGGCTATAGGGCCAACAAAGTCGAAGAAGTGCTTTGCCTTGCTCTTGTCCTTGGGATGATCAAGAGGAAGGGCTTGGACAAGTTCTTGAGGAAGAGCGCGTTGGTGGCATTCAGGGCCGTTTCCAGAGAGATTTCACTGGCTTCTGACATCATTGCTACAAGAAAAAAAGAGATAGTTTGAATGACCTGGTTTGAGCTTCTAGCAGCAGAGTAATATATAAAGGAAACTGTGTCTAACATCAAAGAAAAATGTACATATTTATATATATATATATGCTCACCCCCTACTGTTGAAATTATCAGTTTTTCTAGACTGTGCAAGTGAAAAGGTAGGCCCTGGGGGGGGGGTGAGCATATATATATATATATATATTATATTTACACATATTATATATACATTTGTATATATATATATACAGGCATTCCGTTCAGAGGGTGGGTTAACCAATTTGTACTTTGAGGCAGCTGCTCAAAACGGCCTTTCGGTGAGGTTTGGTGCCGGGTTGAAAGCCGGGTTTGGGGAGGGCGTATTTGTTAGACTGCATTTCTTTCGGCACATACACACGTTCACTAGCCAAAACTTCGTTGCCTCGGATGGAACCTGGAAGTAAAAGGTGGTCACCTTTTGGGACCTCTAAAATTGCCTGCTGAAGGGAAGACCAAGAGGTCAGATCCAGTCGATTCGCTTGACAGTGAACAAGTGGAGATGTCATAAACCACAAAAGGTAAAATGGACTGTCGAAACACCGGTTTGGTGGTTGAAAAAGCGGGCCCCCAACCTGGGGCACCCTATTCCAATCGCCAATCACACACCTGTTTGTTGGACCCGTAAACCTTGAAAGGTAACGTGGACGGCCGGAAAGCCGGTTTGGTCGTTTTGGAAAGCCCGGACCCAATTTGTCCAAGCAGACACCAAATTTGTTGGACCCATAGACCAAAACGTGAAATGGACTAGGTCCCCCAGCTAGGTGCCCTTTCTCACTTTTTTTTGGTTGGGAGGGTTCTTCTACTAAAATAGACCACCGAAAAAGACAAAAAATATAACCGTATTCTAACCTCTCAAATCTGGAGGACTCAGAGGGAAAAAACATATTTTTCCAACCACACACCAAGTTTGTTGGACACATAAACCTTAAAAGGCAAAATTGATGCTTAACAAAACAATAAGAAAAAATGAGGGAAACCCCAAAATAGACTACCGAAAAAAAAAAAAAAAAAAAGTTGGTACCAACTTCTTCCAACCTCTCAAATCTGGAGGAGCGGGTCCCCCAACCCGGAGGACCTTGTTTTTCCAATCACCAAATTGGTTGGACCCGTAAACCTTGAAATGTAACATGGACGGTCGAAAACTGGTTTGAACCGGACCCTATTTTTCCAATCAGACACCAAATTTGTTGCCATCATAAACCAAAAGGTGAAATGGAGGTCAATGACCCGAAAGCTCTGGGTCAGGCGCTTTGGGAGGTGTCCCATTCGCCCGAGGCTCCGACTACGAGAACGCCATCCGCGAAGGCTCCACCTCCGTGCGCGTGGGCTCCTCCATCTTCGGGGCGAGGCACTACCCGGCGAAGTGAGCGACGCCTCTAGAGGCGGCGCTTTGGGGGAGGGAACCCTCCTTCTAGACCATAGGTGTCTCCTTTTTTGGGTTAGTGTGAGTAGAAATGGATGGCACTTGGTGAACAAATGGTTTGGCTCCATTGGCCAGAGCCGTCGATGTTCCAAACGGTCAACAATGTTCTCGACCCTTGTTTTCCGCCATAGGTCGAAAGTCTACAGGCAAACTCAGAGCCAGACACCTCCAGAGACCCGATTTTCTCGCGGGGATTCCGCGGCCGAAGTGGCTGCAGCTTTCCGTTCACCACCACGGGTGGGGCGGGAAACTGCGGGATCAAAGACTTGGATGCATATGCGGAGTGGTCAGATCACTTGGCGTCCTTGAGGGTATCGAACCGTTCATGAGCCAATCAAAAGTAGACGCGATGTGCAAGCAGATCTACGCGCATCGCAAAGACGACGAGATCTGGACCACGACGCATACGGTTTTGGCACTCGCAGAAAGAGAAAAAGGCCGGCGGCCAAAATCGGGACCTGGGAAGTTACAGACTACTTTAGAGGGGGCACTCGCGCTGCCCAACGCTCAGGAGTTTGGACTTGGCTTGTATTGACGGCAGATGTCTGTTCTTCTTCAACACGGTGCCCCGCCCAGTCGTCACAAAGGGTAGCACACCGGCCTTAAGTTTCCAACCCTTGCGCTTTGGTGCCTGCCGTGGGTGAAAACTAATTAACCCGATGAGAACCGCATGGAGATGGGAAACTCCCAAGACAAACCACCCAGCACCTCCAAACCACCAAGCCTCCCTAACCTTGTTGAGCAAGGACATGGCCACCAATCGAATCCAAACCACCAATTGTGTTTGTTGTGTTGTTTTCCCTTTATGTTTTTGGCGGTGTTGCTTTCCCCATTGCTTTGGTGATTCAAAGTCCATGGGAAGCTTCCTAGCCTGCTGTTGGCTCGAGGCCGGTCTTTACCCCCCGACAGGCGGACGTCTTTTGGGGCTGATAAGGTACAGCTCCTGCAGCGGCTTCTCCGTGGAGAAGTACCCGTGCCCCCTCTCCAAGGAGTGCCTCGGCCGGATTTTTTTTTTATTTTTCTTATCTTTAAACGGCGGGTTTTCCAAATGCATTTGGAACGCGCGGAAGTGCAAGGGTTGGCCGGGGGGTGGCCCGGGGGTGTACGGGGGGGGAGGGGGTAGGGGAGGGGGGGGGGGTAGCAAGCTGCGCCTTGGGAGCTTGGGAGCCGGCTTGGGTTTCCTGAGGTATCCCGGACCCCGCGATCCGAATGGCACTGCACTCAAGTTCCAACCTGCCGCACTGGTTTAAGAACATGGCGTTCTGCTTCCTCAGGACATTTGCTGGTTTTGCTACCTTCTGACAGGATGAAAACCACGAAAGGGTGTGTCTCAAAATTAGGAGCCCTCTAGGTGGTTGGTCTCCTTTATGGTTCCCCTCGAAATGATATTTCCACATACAGCGATAACACTGCTGTGTGGTGCAATTATGGCTGCTTGTTGCTTTTGGAATTCTGCTTGTCCTTTGTGAACCATGCTGCTAAACAACAAGGAAGTCTAGAGTTGAACTTAACTTGCTGTTGCTCAGTAGGGAATGACTCAAAGTTTCGGGAATGTAGCTGGGGATTCGCTTATAGGAAACCTCTTCCTGGGCCAGGCGGGGGAGGGGGGACAAGTTTTTGTTTTCCCCGACAAAACGTATGCGGTCTTTTTGAATTTGCGTATCAAGCACCTGCAAACGGGCACCCGCACAAAAACCAAGCATCTAGTAATTGGACATTTGCTCAGATCTTTAAATCCAGCTGGCCAAGCATAGTATGTGGTAATTTGCTCAGATGTTCAACTTGGAGGGAAAACCGATTGAGCCCTGCGGAGAAGCCAGGTGGTGCTTTTGGGCTTCGGATGGCCGGCAGATTGTGTGCGAGGAGCCTCCGGAGGAGGCGGGGCTCGAGGCTTTCGGATCCCCAGCGTGAGCCACAGGGCGCTAAACAAATAGCAGCTGTTTCATAGATCTGGGTGAATTATAACCACCTCACACGACCTCACCCTGAATGGTGGTTTATGTGGGGAGTGGCCCCCCAAGCCACCTTGTTTCAGGTTGGTGAAATATTGTAATTCACCTAGACAGATCTGCCTACTGCGGATGGGCGAAATCCATTACGCACCACCGTTCAGAAGCCCAATGGTTTGTCATGGGTTCAAAGTGGCGCAGGATTGTGTCCATCCACAGTATGTACAGGGTTTCCTCCATTTCCCTTTTTGGAACCTCCAAAAGTGGCGATCATTTCAATAGACACCACCAGGAAATTGCCACTTTCCAGTGAGCCCTGTTCATAGATCTGCATATGGCAAGCTCACCTAGCCCGGGGCTGGCTTCTGGGTAGTTTGTTCTCGGTTGGATATGGGCATCACGAAGTTCGAGTCCAAGAAACGCCTTCCCGTGAGCAGCAGCCACGAACCAGCTTTCGAGACGGAGCAACCCCGCCAAACAGCCAAATGTCTTCGGACTCGCCAACGGGCGATGGCGGTCACTTGCAGGGAAATCAGTAGATCAAGCGGTGTTGTGAACCTCCCACGGTCCAAGAAAAACCTCTCTGACTCGAAGGTTGACAGCCACAGAATTGTCGCGTTTTTTGTTGAGGCTCGGTCCCATCTTTGTGTGTGGGTTTTGAAACCAAAAGGCAAACGGTTTCGCGATTTTGGAGGGGTCCGATTCCTCAAGCTAGCCACCCACCCTCTTCAAAGCCTCCCGATTTTGGCATCCGGGTCTTAGCCAAAAGGTGACCGCACGGTTGCTTCCCTTCCCAAAGGTTGTTTTTGGGTATTTTGCCTTTAATAGTTTGTAGTTTATGTTGTGCTGGTTGCTTTATTTGCTGAATTTGCCAGCTGCTTGCTTGCTGGTTTTGTTTGTTGATCTATTCGCAGCTGCTCTGAAGCTTGGACAATGCACAGCGTGGGCCCGATGGAACTGCCGTCCAAGTCGCCGAAGCCGAGGACGGCATTCGCAAGCCGCCGGAGTTCGAGCGGAACGTGCCGGAGGGGCAAAGGACGAGGCTGATGCAGAACAAGGCAGGCAGGCAGATGGGTGCTGTTGTTCTTAAGGCTCGGTACCCTCTTTTTGGAGCTGGTTTAGAGGGAAACCAAAAGCAAACTACTATTTTGCGGGTTTCCCACTCAATTTGACACATCTCATTTGGTTGCGGATGTTGGCTGAGTTGTTCGGCATCAATCCCTAATCCTTGTTCCAGATGGTAATGGTTTCTTCTGTAGTGGTGGGGACGCCGCTAATTACACTAATGACGGATTACCGGTAGAGGTTCTTCCATTTTGAAGAACCCCATGTTGATCCTAGACAGAAAGACAAGAAGCCGACCCTTTGACCACCGCAAGCGCGATGCAGTCGCCTGTCCTGTTTTGAGTTGTCCTCCTTTTGCCTATGAACCAGCACAAGAAATCCGTTTTTGGAACCATGGCCATGGCACCGCAACGGTGGTCGTTTTCACAATGTTTGGGGCTCGCTTGGAGCAACCCAAAAAGATACCCCCCAATAAATACATGGATTTTTTTAGGGCTTACCCACGGCAAAAATAAAGTACCCCCATGTGCCCTTTTGACACAACCAGGTGTCACGAACCTCAGCTCCGGATCTTTAGCCAAAGGCGCCCTCAACGAGGCCGCGAAATCTAAGAAGATGTTCACCCCCAAACCGCCCCCAGGGTTTGGATACACCGCCACTATATAGCCACTATACCAGGTATACTCCAGCAGAACTGGAGGAATGGGAAGAGAAACAGCACATCCGCCGCCCCATGCCCCCGCACCTTTTGGTCGAGTTTTCTGCCGCGGTCGAGTTGGCAGGTGGAGTGTCCTTTGCTTTCTTTATTTATGTTGTTCTTTTTTTGTTGGTTCCTTCTTTCTTTCTGTGTTGCTTTCCTTCTTTCTTTCTGTGTTGCTTTCTTTCTTCCTTCCGTCCTTCCTTCCTTTCCTTTTCTGTCCTTTCCTTTTCTGTCTGTATGTCTTTCTTTTCTTTCCTTTCTTCCTTTCTTCCTTTCTTCCTGTCTGGCTTTCTTGCTTTATGTTTTATTTTTTGTCTTGATTTATGTCTTTCTCTCTGTCTTTATTTTGTTCCTTCTCTCTCTTCTTTTTTGTTTTCTTTCTTTCTTTATTAGTTTCTTTCTTTCTTCCTTTCTTTTTTTCTTTCTTTCTTTCTCTCTATCTATTCTCTCTGTCTATCTATCTATCGAGGATATCCATATATTTATCTATCTCTCTATGTCTCTATCGATCGACCTATTTATCTGCACCAGACCCTGCCGTGCTGCGCCTGCCACGAAATCTGTACTCGACCTTGCGAAAAAGCTGCGCCTGCCACGACATGCAGAACTTGAGCTTGAGAAAGCGCTGCGCCTGCCACGAAATGACTCGACCTTGCGGAAGTGCTTGTGGGAAAGCCAGGCGCCCTCCACGCAATCGGCACGCAGCAGCGCCCAATGCGATTCGCGAAGTGCTGCGCCTGTCGCGAATTGTGATGCCCATGGGATCAAAATCCTGCGCCTGTCACGACATCTGCACCTTAGGTTGCCAAAGTGCTGCGGAATTCGTGGCGGGACTGTGGCGAACCCGCGGCGAGACCGTGGCACACCCGTGCGCAAAGCCCACTTTTTGTAACACGGAAGTTTTCTAACTAAGCTTCCTGTGATATATAAATATCCAAATTTCCCCCTGAAGCGAGCGATTCGAGGCAGTGAAACTCATAGACAGGTTCCCGGAAGCGAGCAAATCGATCCGGAGGTGCGCAGCGCAGTGGCGCTGATTTTCCGGTCCCCCGAGCTGCGGCGCCTGGAGCGTGCCATAAATGGCCGGCACAAGGCTGGAGTTGCTTCGGCGCTGGGGTGCTGTTTGTTTTCATGTTTTCTTTTGGTCCAAGGAAGAAGGCCGGGTTTTATTTGAAGATCTGATTGTTTTCCTTGGGCTTTTTCTTCCACCAGAAAGGTGAGCCCTTAAACCCCCTTGCAATGGTTGAGTTCCAGTTCGGACTTGAACAACTTTTTGGGTTTGGACCATTTTGCTTGTAAATAAAGAGTTGTCTAGATACCAATCGCATTCATTGCTAATGTCTTGAAGAAGGAGGCCTGCCTGGAATTGAGGATCCAAGTCCATTGCAGATATCCTCCTCATCTAGGTGTGGCTTTTCTACTAGAACGGTGAAGCTGTTGACTGTTTATGAAAAAGGAAAGCCACAATTTTGAGGGGCCCCCCTCCAAAAGAAACCCTATACTTGCTGGGTGTGCCTTTCCGACTAAAAAGGCGAGCCCACAAAAAGACCACTCATGTCGGCGTGGCTTTCCCAACCATTTGAAGGGTCCCCCCCCAAAAAAAAGAGAGAGGGAAACACACATCCATGGTCACCCATATGTTTTCCCAACCCTTTGCAGGGTCCCCCCCCTCCCCCCAAACCAAAAAAGAACAAACCGAATCAGCACCACAACGTTTGAAAGCCCAGGACTCGTAGGACCCAACACCGGAGGTTGACCCGGCTTGGCCGAGCTCAGCCCGGCTCGCCCAGGCCGCGGCGCAGCAGTTCTTGCGGCCCTCGGCGCCGGAGGCGTTGAAGCGGGAGGCCATGCGAGTGAGCCTCGGCGCGGGGGGCGCGGAGGCCTCCGCGATGGGGCGGAGGTCGCCGTTGTTGCGGCGGGACGGGATGTTGTTTGGCGCCTCACGTTTGGGGGATCTTTTTTTGGGTGAGTCTTTGTCTCTCTCTCTCATCCCTGTCTTTGCCTCTCTCTCTGTCTCTCTCTCTCTCTCTCTCTCTCTCCCTCTCTCTCTCTCTCTCTCTCTCTCTTTTTCTTTCCTTTTTTGTCTCTGTCCCTCTCGAACAACCATGGCAGTGGCCAAGGGGGTTCTCCTCCTCCAAAACCCTTCTGTCAGCTTCCACGATTTCACTTAGCGCTAGGTAACTTTAGGTTTTGCTTGTGGCCGGATTTTCCGAATTGGAAACTTTGTTGCACAGGTCAACAGCAACCAAGTTCATTGTGTGGCCTCCCCCCATTGGGGAGCTTGCATGATTTGGCTGCCAGGGATCTCAAGCTTTGGGAGTGCCTTTGAGGAGTGCGTGCGTGAAAACGTGCCCCAGACCTGTGTCAAAGTCTGTTTTTCTCCGCAAACCAACAATTCTGCGTAAAACCCGGCCCTGCTTCTTCTTGTGGCCGGCCGCATTTTTCTCCGGCGCCCTCCTTTTCTGTATCCTTTTTTTCAGTTGGCGCTCTGCCCACTTGCCGAGCCTTCCCAGGAGTGAGGTGGATCTTTGCACGGTTTTTTTTCTCGTCAAAGGTTTTCTTGAGAAACATGCATGAGCATCCCGGTTCAGGGCGCCTTTTTTGTTTGGGGAATCTTCATTGGGGGATTCCCAAGATTGCGGGTGTGCTCTGTTGGCTGTGCCTTGTTTTAGGGCGAGCTGAAGGATTCGGGGGTAAAATGAGCGAACATCTATGAAGGTCCCAACGTCCAACACCAAGGCCCGAGCACCCAGTGGCCCATGAAGGTTCTTAGCTTGGCGGTTTCCATTGTTATTTCATCCGCACCCCCCTTCAAAGTGGAATTGGGGCAGGGGTGATGTCAGAAATTTGGCCCAGACTGGACCGAAGGCTGGGCCTGTCCCCCGGGGATGCGCCGCTCGCAGAGAAGAAGGCCATGTCTATGGAAAAGGCCCCCACGCCCAAGGCGAAGGCGCGGGAGGGGGTCACTGGCAAGCTGGGCTGGGAGGGGGGAGGGCGGGTTTAGCCAAGAGCAGGAGATGTGGAGGTTTTCCGTTGTTCATGTGCACTAATGGGAGCCCACGTCTATAACCAACTTTCTGGGGGGGTGGTTGATGAATTTTCTCAGTTGTAAGCCGACCATTGAACCTTTTGGTTTCCCCCCTTTTGGGGCGAATTTGAGCAAAGGTCCCAAAAGGCGATCACCTTGTATCTCCAGGTCCTTTGGGCAACTGTGGGAGTAGCACGTCTCGTTCAAAGTCTAGAAGCCCCTTGGACCCTCCCTCCCAAAGGTCTCCAATGACGACGTGGCTATGTCTCTGGGCTATGTCAAAGTCAGCTCATTGACAGAAGAGCCATTGACCTTTTGTTGGAGGATGCCCATGTTGAGCATAACTTAAAACAAGGGAAACTGAAAGGGAAACCAACATATTTTAAGCCCCCCTCTATTTTGAGACACACCCAGGCCGCTTAGATGTTCATGATGCTCCGCAAAAGGTGTCGATCTACCTAGTTTACCCTCCCCAAATGGTGACCATTCCACTAATTCACATGGAACCTGACAGGGGTTTCTTGAAAAGGAAAATGATCCAAACCAGCAAACCAGGACGGTGGGAAGTAACCTTGTATTTCCGGGTCCTTTTGGGCAAGTGCGCATGCGAGGCCATTTCGGCCCAGTTTCGTTTCCCAGGAGCCACCGGTCAAGGCCTTGCCGCCCAAGGCGCCGCCCAAGGCGCCACCCAAGGCGCCGCTGCAGGAGCGATTCGGAGGGGGGTTGCCTTACTTCCTAAGATCCTGGACTTGCACAACTGGTTGAAGAGACAAATTGTGTGGTAAAGAGACAGCTCCTGGACTCTTTGGCCAATCCACTTGATAGGAAACGAGGTGCCCTTGGAAATAGAGAAACACAAACAGGCCCCCCTGCAGAACAGGTGGAGGAGACTGCAGCTTTGAAGCGTTGGGTTGTCCATGGCAACCGAGTTTGAGACACCCAAAGCCTCGTTGAGTGGATTGAAAGCTCTTTTTTCGGCGCCCCGTTTGCACGGGGCCAGCAAGAATTGTCTATCAGCAAAGAAGGTGCACTTTTTCTATCAGGTTCATTGGTTGCAACTGGGTAAGTGTATGCCTTATTCGGGATCCTTTTCTTAGCCCCTTGTTAAAAAATGGGAGACTAAAGGGCACCGGAGTCGCAAATTCGGACCCTTTTTGTGAACAACCCTCACGTGAGAAGCCTTTTTGTAGGCTGGATTGGCATTAGCGGTCGCACGTTTGGCTGCCGAAGGCAGAAAGGCCAGTGAAAGCTCTGGATTAACAACCTCCTGGTTTCCTTGTTTGATACCTGGACTCTCCTGTCAATCTGCTGGTTTTTGGGATTCGTACCTTTTTTTTCTCGGCTTGTCCTCTTTTTTGGGCTGTCAGGTCCTACTATGACCTACTCAAGCCTGCAACGGCCTGCAAAACGAGCGCAACAACCCGCAAAAGAGCACACATTTTAAAAGTGCTCATTTAAATTTATAACCCTCGGGCACTTTTTCATTGCTCGGGCAGAAATTGAAGAAATGGGCACAAACTGTGTTCGAGCAGAAAAAACGCACTCAACAAAACAACCAATCAATGGAAGGTCCAGGCCTGCGTCCCTTTTACAAGAACAGTGTTCCAGGACACTCAGTTTTCCAGGATTCATGTTAGTGGATGGTGCAGGGCCCATACGACATCAACCAACACGGGGTATGATAGGCTCCGAAGAATGAAGACTGATTTTTCATGATTCTATGTGTATTAAAGTATTTGCTTGTTCTTCAGGATTCAACCATTGTCGTGGCTTATGTTGCTGTTTCATGTTTTTTGTTTGCCATGTTTTTTTAGCATTAGTGCAATGTGTGCATGGTAAATCAAGTTACCCTGAAGCAATCCATCGGCGTTGATTTCCCGCGATGAGAAACCCGCAAGTAGGCAGCAATAGATCTTCATGTTTCCCGGACCCCCTATTTAAAAATTTGAGGTTCACATGGTCTCACCAATCTTTCCCTTTCTTGAGTACAGTTGAAATCAGCCAAATACAATGATCTTTTGTTGCTTCCCCTTTGTTTGCAATGGCATGTGGGGAACTCAGAAGCTGTGCGAAACCACAAGTTGAGACGGGAACGGTCTCCCCAACTGGGCCCGTGTGCAAAGTGGACCTGACGCAGCGAGAACCCACCTTGGTAGTTTTGTCCCGAGACCCAGGATGGCTAGTTTTGGAGGTGTTAGTTGTTGAACTTGCAGGTTGGCAAACTTGGCGACAGCCCTCACGAGCCCTGCGGGTTATTTAGAGTCTGGCGATTCCTTGTTACCATCGATGCGCCCACGGCATCCAAGCAGGTTAGAACACAGTTGGGATGTGTTCTAACTTTGGGTTGCCTCCAAAAGTTTCTTTGTTCGCTACTTTTCTCGTACGTGTGTTAATACCCTGAGGGTGGATTCAGGCCTCCACACCGCAGGGGACGCAAGCAGGAGTCCAGACATTTATAAGCATCACAGCGACTTATGACCCCAGAAATTAAGGCCCCACCTCAGCAACAGCGCATGAGCGCATGAGTCATGGGCCAAGCACACCAGGAGCCGCCCCAAGCCTCTTGGCTGAACTTGGCTTCAAGGACCTTTGTGAGGGTCCCTTTACTCTTGTTTCTGCTGCGGTCAAAGGAGCCCTTTGTATGCGGCTTTGTAAGATGGACCCCTGGAAGGATAATTCCCTTGTACATACCAACAAACCATGGCTTTTGATGGTTTCAAGGTGGCGCAAAAAATCGTCCATCCACAGTAGGGATGGCCGTCGACGAATAAACCATGACCATGACATGGGGAGTTTTCATGGCACAGCTGCTGAACAAGTTGACCAGGCGACCAGCGCGACGCCCGAGGCGAAGGCGAGGTCTTTGGGCTGGGAACGTTCAAGGGGGGGGGAAGGGGGGGTCCGCAATTCCATTTCTGTAGCCTTCTCTATGCGACAATGGAAGCAGAAGTGGAGGGGGGGGGGGGTTATCTAGCCTTCCCCATAGAGACAATGGACACATATATATGTGGAGATCTCCAAAAATTCCCCCACCCCCCCCCCACTTCCATTTGCTCCACGGCAAACTTACATGGAACAAAGGAGGTTCTCTAGAACTGAGGATGTGTTGGGTTTCATGTTAGTGTGCAGGGAAGAAAGGGGCTGGTTCAAACGTCTTCTGTTTAGCCAAGGGCAAGATGTCGACTTGTTTGAAAGTGCTGGACTTACGGCACAGAAGTTGACGTATCGAGGTTGGGCTCAGTCAGAATTATCTTGTTCCCTTAATGGGCGGTTTCTGACATCTGCTGGAGAGGCATTGAAAAATAAGGTTCCTGGCGCAGTGATGCTTGGTGGTTTGCAACGTGGGGATTCGCTGGGTAGCCCCACAATTCCTGCCACACATTCCGAAAGGTGCTTTGGTACGTCTTAGGGTCCTGCCATCACTTTAGTAGGGGGCTCCAAACTAAAATGCAAAGCAACACAACATCACAAACTTGACTTTTCCTACAAGATCCAAGTACCTGAGGAGGTGCTTAGACCACTTGTTGCCGTCTCCAAAAGCCATCCTCAGGTGCTCGGACTCTCTGGGATCTTCTTGCAACCCATTTGGGTGTGTCTTGTTGTTGTTGGTACCCTTTCTTTTGGGGTGGACTACAAAAAAAGGGAAGCCACAAGAAACGCCAAAATAAGTAGGGGAAGGACCCCTAGAAGCGAATTTCGCAGGTTCATTCCCAATCCCTCATTCCCTGGGGGTTGATCAATACTCCGTTCGCCCCCAAAATCACCAGTCGGCGAACTTTCCCATTTGGAGGTGAAACATGGTGAAACTCATCCTGTCTGGTTTGCCTCATGGTTTTTCTCTCCATGTGGGCCTTTTGATCAACCGGTCCCTTGTGCTCCAGAGAGCCGCTGGGGTCCCTTGCGCTCAGGGCCCAGAGCCGGAGGTTGCGGCGGAGGCTCCGGCGGAAGAGGTGCCCTCTTGGGATGGCCCCAACAAAGGGGTGGTGTTAAGGGCAAGCCACTTGGAGTGGCAAAGGGGGTAGCCAAGAAAGGGGTGGTGTCTTGGGCCCGTAAGGGAAAAGCAAGAGAGGACACCTTTTTTGTTTCATAGTGCGGGGGTTCCACTATTTTGACGCTACCCCAAAAAGGAGGGTTTCCTTTGGAGGGGTATTTTTTTTATGATATGTTGTTTTCGTTGTTTCCCCCCCCCCCCCGCTTTTGGCTTTTTGGCTTCTTGGCTTTTTGGCTTCTTGGCTTTTTGGCTTTTCGGCTTCTTGGCTTTTCGGCTTCTCGGCTTCTCGGCTTCTTGGCTTTTCGGTTTCTTGTTGGTTTATGCGGCTTTTGGTGGCTTTATGCGGCTTTTGGTGGCTTTTTAGCTTTGGCTTTTCGCATCCTCTGCATTCCCAGTTCCTCTCCAGCAGGTGGCGTTTTTGCTGTTGCTGCTTTTGGCGGCTTTGGCTTTTCGCATCCTCTGCTTTCCCAGTTCCTCTCCGGGCGTTTTGGCTTTTGCACCCTTTCATTGGTTTTTGGATTTGGCTTCCCGCATCATCAGCATCACCAGTTTTCTCCCTATTTGAATCATCACTTCTTCGAACATCATGGGGGGGGAAGCCCCCCCTACTGTTTAGATTGTTTGCAGAGTAATTGCACCCCTATTTTGAATCAACACTTCTGCAAACATCATGGTGGGGGCTGCCGCCGCCCCCCCGCTACTTTTTAGATGTCTTGCAAAGATTTATTTGCACCCCTATTTGAATCATTATGTTTTCGAGCGTCCAATTTCGCGAGAAATGCTGTAACATACGACATTTTAGGTAATCTATGTAATCCATGTATGTCTGTATGTATGCACTTCTTCGAACATCATAGGGGAAACCACCCCCGCCAACCCTCCCGCTGCATTTAAATTCTATCGCACCCGTTCCTGCATCATTGCACCCCTACTTGAAACATCACTTTCAAGGGGGGGCTGCTGCCCCCCCCAACCCCCATGCTACGTTTTAGATTTTCTACAGAGATTTAATTGCACCCCTATTTGAATCATCACTTCTTCGAACATCATGGGGGGGGCTGTCGGGGGGTCCCCCAAAAAGACGCGTCTGCAGTAGTGGCAACAAGCAGTTAGTTCTTGGCCAATCTCGTTCGGAAGTGAGAGGGGCTGGTTCCTCTTCCATCCTCTTCCATTGCCAAATTCTTCAGTGCCACCAAGTCTTCCTTTTGATTCATCCAACTGCTGCTCACCTTCTGAGTAATGTTGACCCTGGGTTGATAAATCCCTGTTCACTAATACGGGCGGGTTTCCATCCAAGAGTGGTCTGATCCCCCACAGTATCCAGGGACACCCCCCTATGAACAAACTGGGGTTTAGTCCTCGGGCCTTCCCCCTCTCCATTGGTTTGTTTGGTGCATGGACTGACCTGCAGCTGGCTGGAACGCCCAGGTTTTCACCAATCGTACCCATTACCTAAAGCGCCCCGGACATTTGTGGGCGTTCGAATCTCTTCCATTTGCTTAAGAATATGTTTTTCTTCCTTTTTTGGCTTTGAAGGGAATCCATCACTACGGAACATATTTGTATGTATTTCCAGGAACCGGAAAAAATGGACGATCTCCGCTCGATCGGACGTGAGTCACGGGAGGCCGCGCCCTGGAAGAAGCGCCGGCGTGGAGAGCGCGCGCCGGCTCCAGGCCACCGGATGGGCCTTTCATGGTTGTTGTTGGGAAACATTTTACATTATTGCTTGTTGGGGTTTAGTGGTTGAACCCCCCACTTAACTGCTAAAATTGTATTTGTTTGCCCCTCTTCCAACGTCAACCAAGCACTTTCCTCCCGCACGAAGCCACGAAGCCAGGAAGCCACGAAGCCACGAAGCTTCGTGAGAGGGCCATCTGAGGATGGCCGTCACGGATCCCAAGAGAGGCTCATGGAGGGTGGATTGAGAAACTTCTTTGGTGTCCTTCAATGAACCGGTCTCCAAAATAGTTGGAATTACATGGATGTGTGATATGTGGATGATGTCCAAGGGCCTCCGACTAGAGTTCAAGGCTATATCCCTGCTCCCCCGCCCCACTCCAGCCGGGTTCCATGTTAGTGGGGGTTTGTATCAGGAACTGGCCTTGAAGCCTTGTGGGTGGTGTGGTTTTTGAACGAGTTTTTGCATTCTCAACATGTGCTTTTGTGTCTTGTTTGCCCTTGGACCTTTGAGATAGGCTTCCATCAGGACCCCAACCGCGATCAAATGGCTTGTCTCACTTCCCAAGCTTCTGGGGACTATACTTTTTGGGAAGACCATGTTGGTGGCAAACGCAGAAGTTGGACATGTGTTTCGCCCATCTCGATCGGATGTCAGTCAGTGATTTGTTGTGGTCACTTTTGGGGGCCATGTGATAGCCAGTAGACGCCGCACCCCTTTCGCCCGTGAGAGGCAAAGCTGCCGTCCAGGAAGACGCGCCGGAGGAGTGGCTCACATCGTGCCCGGGATCAAAGACATTGAAGCCCTTTTTCCGTTTTTGGGGAGTGACCAACACATGCCCTTCCTTTTTGCCTACCTGGAGCTTATAGCTAGATCAGAACCTTGGCACTAGCAACTTAACTTGGCAGTGCAGACCATCCCGAAAGACTACAACCCAAACGGTCCGGTGGCTGAGCGTGACAACTAGCTCATCTCGCAGTTTTTTTCTTTCATGTCGGTTTCCCTTTCCTCACATGCCCAAACCGATTCAACCTGTTGACCTTTTGGTTGCGAATTTTTAATCACGGCCAGGAACCCTGAGAAGGGGCATGGCTGATGGCAACGCTCGGACCTTCTCATGGTTTCCCCTGAACCTCAGAACGTTAGCCGCAAAAAAGCAACACATCCATCCGGAGTGATTTGTACATCACTTTTGGGCCCAGTGTTGGTGGAACGCCCCTTGTGTCAAAAAAGTCTGCCACCGGGAAACAAAGGTGCAATGAAAAAGGGGGGCAATTAAATACTACACACCCAAACTTTGCTTGCATTTAACTTTGAACACCGGGAGTTCCTAACTTAATTGCCCGGATGACTTGGGGCCTGAGGCTTGCCTTCACCAGGTGATTGAGACAACTTCCGCTTTCAGATGGGTAGGCAGGGCTCCTTAAAAGATCTCCATTTTGCAACCATTTGAAGCATGGCTTTTTCCACCAAAATCAAGGGAAGCCACCATTTACAAGGCAATGTTCAGGTGTATAATGCATCCGGATCCCTGCAAGAGAAATGGTGTAACTGCAGCGTGCCCCACAGTACCTTGTCAAAATGGGGATCGGCATCACAACCTTCAAACCCCGAACCCCCCAAACCTGATGGAACGATTTCTGCCACTCGAGCCTTAGAACATTGGATCGCAAGTGGACCGGGGCGGGGTGCTCGTAGAGCTGGCCGGAAAACATGCAGATCTGATTCCGGTCTCCTCTCGGAGGTAGACCAAACTGGTCCCAAACAACTGGTGGCCATGGTCTATTGCGCCCTGGGATTGCACCCTAGGAAAACGATCCAACATGACTCTAGCTGAACAAAAAGCCAATGAGGGTTTCTCTGGAAGTAGCCTAGAATAGGGTGATTCCCCAGGAAGGCGTTTTCCCGTGTAGGAAAACCCCTGGATACCAGCTGTTTCTGCCTGCTGCCAGGAGCCCGGGAGCTTCAAGGACTTGTTGCCACGCAAGGCGCGGGCGCGGCGGGGTGGTCATGGGGTCGTTGGACTTTGGGTTATCCAAGTGAGCTGGGGGTGCCTTTCTTCCGTTGAAGTCATCACTTGGGGGTTGCTTTGATGGTAAGGCAATGATGGAGCCAGGAAGTTGAGGTTCAGAATCTCCAATCTACGGGAATGAAACTCACAAAGGTTCCAATGTCCTCTTGGGGAAACAAGAAACATCCCCCATCTAAGAGAGCAGCATCACTTTGGGGGAAACGCTTCTCTATTATTCCGCCTTGTTTAAGAATCTGGGGTCGACCTTTTTGTGCAGGTGCATGTCAGACTAGATGCCCCCCAATTGTTTTCTGTCCATTGCACCAGGTCCCATGCCGAGTCCATGCTTCCTCCTCGAACACCAGGTGCTGCTCTCCAACGTGGCCGGCGCCAACTCCAAGGACTCGGCAGTTTGGAGGTTTGGCGTTTAGCCCTTCCTTCGGGTGAGGCCCCCATGACAACCCGGCAAAGCAAAAGCCAGCTCCAGTGGGAAATTCACTGGGTGGTGACGCATGGTCCCTTGCGCGAGGGTTCCTGGGCCTTGCTCAGTGGCCTCTGAATCACTTTCTGTGGCTGTGGGTGAAAAATAGGGAAACCCCGAAATGGAACCCTGGTAAATGGAACATTGCTCAAAATGAGGGGTCCTTTGGTTTTCAATATTGACCCGTACCTACCTAGTTTTCGGGGAATTCAAAGTTTGCCATCTCCAGCTTTGGCAGCCATGTTTGATCGGCTCCCCAAGAAGCAAACCTTTGTTTACGTGCCTTGGTCGCGTAGCAAGTGTCATAGGGATGACTTATACAGTTTGGTATAGGGTCTCAAAGCGAATCGACCTCTTGACCTTCGGGCCTTCCGGATTTGGTCCATGTTCAGGTAGACACACAAATTGCCCCAAAGGTAAACATATGTGACACAAAGGTAAACAAATACACATCCATGTCCCCAAAGGTTAACATATTGTCTTCCGGTCCAGTAGGCAAGTGAGCACCTGCTGCTCAGCTCGAAAGTCACGAGACACACGTACAGGGAACCATATATTCATATATACGTGCATACACACCTCTACACGCACACACCCACATATACACAAACATACATACGCACGCACGTACATACATACATATATACATACAGACATACATGTAGACAAGAATCCATATACACACACACATGCACACCAATACATACATCCATAAACGCATACCTGGGCCCTGCTAAGTATGAATTGTGGTGCTGTTTGGGCCAAAGGCTCCTTTTGGTACAAACAACATTTGATTCGCCTCAGTGCATTTTTGCGAATTTTGCTGTTTTGCGAAACCAGGAAGAAGACGAACAGGCGACATTGCCCGACCCAGAGGCTACATTCCCCGACCAAAAGCGACATTTGCCGACCACGTTCTAGCAAGATTTGAAGCAGCAATGTTAAAAGGAAAAGGTTCTTTTTGGAGCAAACGACACAACATGTTGCCTATTCAGCAAGCGGCTGGAAATTATCACCTGGAGGGTTCAGGTATATACAGTTATGCATGTACACATATGTGTGTATATTTGTGTGGTTACATTTTTAAATGTGCGCACTACGACATATACACATATATATATACATATATATATACATATATATATATACATATATATATACATATATATATATATACATATATATATATATACATGCGTGTGTGACCAGATTGTGGCCTCTGACAGCCTCCCCCAACCCTACCTGTTGAACATTGTTGGGGCGTCCAACGGCAAACATTAAACTTGTTGTTTTGCACAACAAAGGACACATTTGCACAGTTACTTTCTTAACTCACATATATATATATATATGTGTGTGTGTTCATATCGACAAACTAAACCGTGATTGCCTGCACCCAAAAGACAACCACCCCAGCCCTTGGACACGTGGGTGCCATCTATCGGCAAGGACCTCTCGGACTTTTTTGCCGGCGCCATTTTCACCGCCACGGGCCACAACTGGCAGGGCAGCGACACTGCCCAGGTCCGGCCAAAAGAAGCCCCACCGTACTCCCCGAGTTCCTGGACTTTTTGTCTTTTTTGGGTGTGGACCATGTTAGAGGTCCATTTCGCCGCTGGAGCTTCAGTGAGTGGTTCCTCATGCGATCGACCCGATGTATGTTGGAGATTGGGAGTTCCCAACTCATATGGCCAACTCGGTTTTTGCAAGAACTTGACGCTGCGTCTGGTAGGTGGCAGGAGCACAGCAAGTTGACTGCTCCCACGGCACCGGGGCCTCCAGAAGGAGATGGTTTTTTGGGTTCCATGTTTTCCTTAGCAGGGGAGTAAACATGCAACATGACCCGACCAAAGCCACATGTTACATTTCAACAAACACACGCCTTACATATATACTTTAGAGCCTCCGGCTCAGTCCGCCGACATTGTCCTCTCCCTTTTCTCCTTCTTCTCCCTTGTCTCCCTCGTGTGTTCTGTCGTCCTCTCTCCCTCGCTCTGCCCCATCCTCCCCATCCCCCCAAGCCTCTCTCTCCTCAATCTCCCTCTCTCTCTCTCTCTCTGTTTCTCTGTCTCTTTCTGTCTCCCTGCCTCCTTCCTGTCCACGCCCCTCTACAGAAAAAAGGAACCCTAATTCGAACCTCTCTACTCTCTCACTTTCTCGCTCTTTCTCTCTGTCTCTGTCTTTCTTTGTCTCTCTTTCTCAGTCTCTCTTTCTCTCTCTCTCTCTGTCTTTCTCTCTCTGTCTGTCTCTTTCTCTGTTTCTCTGTCTCTGGCCCTGTCTTTGTCTCTCTCTCTCTCTCTCTCTCTCTCTCCCTCTCTCTCTCCCGCTCTCTCTCTCTCTCTCTCTCTCTCTCTCTCTCTCTCTGCATTGCAGCGTCACGTCCCCCGTCCGCGCACTGCCCCTTCATGACCCTGAACTGTCATCTCACTACTGGCTTTCTCTTCCCTTGATTTCCCCTTCATGTCCTTTTCACGTTTCCCATGATGTCCTGGTCATGTCCCTTCCATGCCTCTCAACTCCCCCTTCATGTCCCTGACATTTTCTCGGTATGTCCGCTTCGTTTTCCATGTATGTCCCGTTCTTTCGTTGCGAGTCATTTCCCTATCTCCCGTCGTGCCGATTGGTTTCCTTGTGCTTTGTTTCCCTTTCATTCCCCCTGCGCTCCCCTTGTTTTCATTTCTGTCCCTTGCATGTCCCTTTCAGTTCCCCTTTGTTTCCCTTTCATTTCCCGCTGCTTTCCTATCATGTCGGCTTCCTATTTCCTCCTCTCATTTCCTTGCACTTCCTTGCATTTCCCCTTTGCTTCCCAATATTTCCCGCAAACAAACACGGTTTTTCCAGCGTTTTCGCAATTAGGACATCCAAAAGCACAGAGTTTTTCGGGTTTTCGGCAAAAGGAGGCAGGAACCCCAAACCAGCAAAGAGCCGGCAGGGGGAATCGAGCCTGGGACTCCTGTTTTGCGACAACGGATCCCCGAAGACTACTATATCCTCTCTTAGGCGTCCGCATGCCGAGCAATGTCGGCGGATATGTATATATATAGATGTATTGCGCAGAGAGATATACACATATACAAAGCTGTAGAATTATGTATATATATATATATATACACATGTGTGGCGTACCCCGAGCTTCCCCGGCCCGGCCATGAGCTTCACTCAGGTGGTGGAGAGCGTGGAGATTTCCCCCGGCGGCCACGCGGAGGTGATCTTCGGTACGGCGCTCAGCGCCACCATCGCGGTGGCGCTGCACGGCATCAACTTCCAGCGCCTTGGGCCCGGCGGGCCATTGGGCCGGGTCTGTTGGGGGGTCCCTTCGGGTTTGTTGTGTTCGCCCAGCTAGGTGCCCTTTTACTCACCCCTTTTTTGGGTTGGAGCGGGTTGGAGGGTGAACCCCCTACTAAAATAGACTACAGAAAAAAAGATAGCCTTATTCTAGTCTCTCTACTGGAGGACCTTGGGGTCTTCTCCAAAACGTTTTTCGCAGACCCGTGCCTGTTAATTAATAGTTGCTTGTGTTTTTTTGGAGTTAGTGGGGATTCACTTTTGGAGGGATAGGCGAAATAAGGTTGATCCCGGATTAGTCAACCTCTGTTTGTGAATAGGAGTTGTAAAAACAAATGGGAAAATTCTGAGTTTAGTGGGGGTTTGCAGATTGGTTGGTCATGCTCACTGATTCTTACAACAAAGAGCCCCTTCACCCCAGACCCCGGAATTTGTCAATGGAGAGCCCTTCACTCCCTGACTTCCTGGACTTTATACTTGTTGGGAAGATCATTTTTCTAGGGGGCACTCCCCCATTCAGGGATCCTTCTTTCCAGAAAACCATCGGAACCCCAGGGGAAACAGCTGATTTTTAGAAAAGAACGATGGTTGAAAAGAATGGGGAATCAACCCCTAGAATTTTATATAGTGGCAAGTAAAAGTTCAGACTTTTGCAAATTTACTCAGGAGGAGAGAGTATGTTTTCTCAAACTGTTTGAGGTGGTTGGTCTCCTTTCGGCGTCCACTTGCCCTCCAAAAATGGGGCCCCAATCTGAGAAGCACCCATATGGAACAGAATCAGGACATATCCTCTCAGTTTACGGCCGGCAATATAAGAATCTAAACTAACATTGTTTGGTGCTGCCTTGCGGGTGTGTCGCACCCCAACAAGTGGTCTGCACAGTGGCTTTCCTTCAAAACCACTTCGGAAGCCAAAAAGGACAATATAACCAACTTTCGGGGTTCCGTGTGTTGAGCAACACCCACTGTTGAGATGACCTTTCCGGGTGCTAAATACCCCAGAGTTGTTCGAGTTTTTTTCCAGGCCCCCTGTTTGGCACCAAGTTCACGAGGAAACCCTTGTTGATCAAGGGGGAAAGCACCCTAGGTGTCCTTTAAGGTCAGTTTGAACATAGATGGCTCTTGCGCACTTTGATTGATCACCAGCGCCACCCAAGTGTTTTCCGATTTCGGACACCCTTCCCTCACTTGCTCAGCTCCTGGACTTAAATAAACTTTTGGGGTGTGGACCATTTTAGGCAACCAACCTTCAATATTTACCTGATCATGAGGTCGTTTGGTTTACATGTACTCAACCCCATTCTAATCACCAAGGCACACAAGCAAAGGATTCCCCGTCAATGTTTGGCTAAGTATATTGGGCTCTGGTCCAAGAAGACCAACCTGGAACCCGGCACCTGGAATCCCTCTGAAGCCCGGGGCCGACCGGGTTGCCCGACGTGAGGAACAAGGTCCTGGGCATCAAGCGGCCGCCGGGCTTCACGGGCCCGCCGCTGAACCGCGCTAAGCTGCTCTCCGTGGCCATGAAGGACGCGGAGACACGGAGCGTTTGGGGTGAAGCTGAAGACTCGGCTGTCGCCTCAGCTTTTTTGTTGCCAGACGTTGGTAACCATTTTTTCTCAAGGTTCCAAAAGGTTGACTTCTGTAGTGATTGTAGGTACTTTGGGCAACTGAGAAATATGAATTCGCCCAATTGATGGGGAATCGTTTGCTTGTGCGCCTTTGTGATTAGAATGGGTTGGGTACATGTAAACCAAACGCCCTCATGATCAGGCAAATCTTCAAGGCAGACGGGGGGGGCCCTTCTTGAGAGAGTGGTTTTGTAACATCTTGTAGGCTGTTATTTGTCAGGAAAAGGTGTATGCAGACCCTGGATGAATCAACCTGGTTCCCCCAAAGCGAAGATCCTCTTCAAATGGGTTGCTCTCCTTTGTGAACGTGGGTTGCTCTCAAATGGGTTGCCTCGAGTTGGACAACGTGGGGCAAACTAGGGAAAGAAGGCAATGGGCTTTCTTTTATGAGCATGGTTCAACAACTATTGTTTGAACAAGCCCCTTTGGTTTCCCTTTTTGACTCACCTCCTAAGTTCATGGACTTAATCTTTTTTGGTTTGGACAGTTTTAGTCGCAAACAACAAGTTTGGTTACTTTTTGTGGTCAGTCCGCTCGATCGGAAGTGAATTTAAGGGGGCCAGCGCGACTCAACAGTTTGAGAACTGCTTCACTTCAGGAACGCTGACTCGCCAGGACCTTGTCTCTGCGGATGGGAAAGTGGAGAAAGCGGCTTTGCCGGTGGCAAAGCCGGTGACTTGTCAAGGAACGCCTACTTTGACGACTTTAAAGGGTGTCAAACGGAAAGCAAGCTTTGGTCAGCTTGGAGGAGACAGAAGTCGGCCACAATCAAACCTAGGTAGTTGAAGTTGAGCAACTCAAAATTGGCAGTAGGTTTTGACAATGATTCCTGTGGGTATCCGCGGGTGGCTGCTTCTTTTGGTGTCTTCAGGGGAGTGCCAAGCTTCCGACCCCAGGACAATTTATGTGGCTGATCAAAGCACAATATTAGGTTGGGCCACGTTTTTCTTTCAGAAGCACAGCCGTTCCTGCCCATTAGCCCCTTGACATGGAGGTTGGGTGCCCAGTTGGCCCGTATGACGCGTATGGTTCGTTTCGAGGCGCAGTCTCTGGAGCCTGCGGGCCCCTCTGCGGTGGTGAAATTGAGCGGCATCCCAAGCTCCATGACGGGAACAAGCATCTTCGACATGCTCCAGCAGCAGCTTGGATTCTCAAGTCCGCAAACGGTTCCAGAACTTCGGAGTTGCTGAGGCCTCCTTCGGACCCCCAAACCAACAAAAGAAACAAAAACAAACTACTCTTTGAAAAGGGTCACATGGGCGACCTCTTGCCCGGTGGGTTGACCCTGGAAAGATCTTTGCAGTCGGAATGCCGGGAAAGTGCCGCTGCCCATGGGCGGAGCTTCCTACCTGACTAAAGCGGTCCGGATGATTCCAATGTCAACATTGACCTTACACCTTGGAGTCTTCAGGGGCAAACCCGGTTGTTCTGTGCATCCACCGTCTTTCCGCTTTTTGCTTGTTTCCCCGCTGAAAAATGGTCAACCCAAAAAAATGCTTGTTTGGAATTTGGCTGGTTCCTTCTATTTTCAACAAGGAATGGTTCCCTTTTCTGCCTTTCGGGGCACCGTTTGCAGCTGGGAAAATAGTTTCCACAACTCATACTGAGCTCACCTGGAGGTAAAAGCGAGCTCACCCATGAGGGTTCCTTACCTGAGTCCACATTCTCAGTTTGCAAGTTATTGCGCAATTCGCCCAGCATGTTAAAACTCTCTTATTTGCCACTTCTGCAGCGGAACCCACAAACTGTTTTGGAAACCTGAAAGCAACGAAGCGATTCGCAGCGAGGTTCGGAGGCCCGCTGAAGAGCTTGAGCCTCACCATGAAAGAGCCCCCCGGCCAGAGCGGTCGGTGACGGGCACGTCCGCGCGCGCGTCGGTCCGCGATGGGGAGCAATTCCCACTGTTGGGGTGAGTCAGCACATTTCATCTCGCCGGAAACACTTTGTGAGAATGTTAGGTTTGTGGCGCATTTACGTTTCGACTCGTCTAGGGGTGACGTCGCTTTTCCCGGATCCAGTTGAAGGTCCGTCGCGAAAAATGATCCTGCGAAGAGAGACTGTGTTCAGAGGGAGGGACCAATTTTGCAGCACGGGAAAAGGGTCATTTTGACCCAGATCCGAGTTTCAGTTGCCTCGCGTGCCTCCAAAGCGAGTAGAATTTGTGTTGCAGCCAAATGCAGGAGATTGCAAAAACAGACCCCAAGGCTCATCATACGGTGCCCCCCCTCAGGTCTCCCCCCCCCCCCCCCGTTTAGAGGTGGTTTGATCTGATTATTTGTCTTTGCTTGCATTTTTGGGGGATTGGAGGGGCTGGGGGGGGGGGGCGGGCATGTCATGTATTCGGCGAACTTACTGCCCCCCCAGAACCTGAAGAACATCTTTGGGAATTGGGCTCCCATTTTTACCCCAAGGTTCCCATTAAATGTGGGGTGTCTATCATCATGTCGTATTTCAGAGGCCAAGATTTCTCAACATTTGCTGGGCTGTCAAGGGGTCCCCTTTGTAGTGGCTTTTCTATAGGGATTATGGATCAGGATTGGCCAACCCTCCATTTTGAACAGCCCAGATTAGGGACTCCTCCAGGTGGGGTTTCCCCCTGATTTTGCTGGACCGAAGGCTGGGCCATTTTCCATGACTGGACTGACACGAGCTCACGATGTAGGGCCTTTTCTCGGGGATCCAATTCTTGTGTCGATTTTGGACTTATTTTTTTTGCAGATGAAGTTGCCTCCAAGTTTTCAGTCATTCCCAAGGCTATGACTCCCAAGGGGCGGCGTGGTGGCCTGCATAGCGGGTAACAATTGGTGGACCTTCCATTGCGGCGGATCCAATTCCTGGTTGAAATCTCTCTACCTATTGGTTGTGCCAAGTCTGATTGCTCACCAGGGGTCGCCCCTACCCTGATGCCTCCAATGGAGAGCTCCCTGACCTGACTCACACAGGAGAGCCCCTGCCCCTTCAGCCCAGACCCCAAAGTTTTTTCAGCCGGAGAGGCCCTTCCTTCCTGAGCTCCTGGACCTTCAGCAGTTTGGGCCTGGACCATTTTGGCGGCAATCAAAAAGTTCAGACTTGTTTTGGCCAATCCACTCGATTGGAAGTGAGATGAAGTGATAAATTAAGTTCTTGTTTCTCAAACTTAAAGTGATAATATTTCTGTGTCTCTCAAACTTAGACACCGACTCGTTGAGGCGCTTGGTCTTTTGTTTTTGCCTTTTGGCGCCAAGCCACGTTCCATCCGAACGCTTCGGCCCGAGGAACGGGGAGCACAGCGGCGCCGGCACCGCGGAGTTCCAGCAGCACTCCGCGGCCGTCGAGGCGAAAAAAGAACAGCGAAACCGCGCGACCGTCGCGAGGGTTCCACGTTTTGAGAACCCCAGGATAGACTTAAACCATCTTAAACCCAGGGATTGTGCATTCCCCCAAAAGGAGAACCCCTGGGTTGAATGATTGAAGTCCATCTTAGGGTAGTGAAAAAGTGGAACCCTGCAAGTGGCAGGTCGCCAACTTAGGGTAGTCAAGAAGTGGAACCCTGCTTGCGGCTTGTGGAAATCTGGTGGCCAAATGGGATCGGTTTTTCTCCACTCACTTTGAGACAAATTGTCACTCCCAGTTCCTGAACTTCAAACATTTTGGGAAGATTGCTTAGTGGCAAGCAGAAACGTCTTGGACTTTTTTTCGCCAACCCACTCAGGTGGTGAGCTCATGGACTTTAGTCACTTTTAGGGCTTGGACCAGTCGAGTGGGTTTTCAAAAGCATTTGATATTTTCAGATTCAGCATGGAACATATATGATGTGCTTTTGTTTGTGTGTACCCGCGGGCCAAGACACTTTTTGGTGCCCATGAAAAGGGTGTTGCATCCTTTCGCATTGTTCGGTGACCTAGTCCACAGGGAAATGTAGGGAACAATTGGGTGGCACAATATCTGAATGTGGGTGAGTACAGGCGATGGGAACACCAACATGTGAGGGTGTCTCTTTTTGAGGGACGTTTGGGGGGTGGTTTTGTAGGGGGAGCCAACGGAAACCAACCATTTGGGGGGTCCCATATTTTGAGACAGCCCCTGTGGAGTTGGTGCATTTCACCCCTTGCAGGCTTTGGGCGGGAGGGGGGGGGGGGTGAATCCTAGGACATCACCTACCTCTCAAAGAACGCGAGGAACATATGGCTGTGGGTCAAAAATAGGTACCCAAAATCGATCCCTGGTAAAGGTTGCTTGGTGGCAAGGCATCGTTGCAAGCGCATCGTTGCAAGGCTGCCTCAAAATGGGCACCTGGACCTTCCAACCACCCTGAACAATTGGATATTGCGCCCCACAAATTGTGTGATGCCCTGCTTCTTTTCGGGCAGTTTGAGGGTTTCAGGTGCAAGGATTTCATCAAGCGCACTCCGCATCCAGGCTTGCCGCTTCTCACCTTTGCTGGGCTTCATTGAGGTGACGCAGGACGGTTTTGAGGGAAGGCCCAGACCTGGCAGATGCTTCGACGTTCAGGGAGGCCCCCTTAGGGACGTATAAACCCCCGGACCTGTGGAGCCTATCCTTCGGCTTTGAGGGAGGCCCCTCAAGGATGTACAAACCTTACCTCCATACCTTCATTTGTTTATAGGTTGGTGACTTCATCAATTGAAAGGCAAAGGCAACCACACACACACACAACTGGAGGACTTTTCCTGGCCAGTCATTTGAGCAGCTCAGAACGGCTTAACGGGGCAACCCCACATGCGGGATTTCCTTCGGAGTCTTTTTGTGGAATGGTGTCCATAAGAAGACGCCCTCTACAAGGCTACAGTCTAGTCTATTGGTTGCCGTAAGGCACACTGGGATTACAGGCCCCCCTGCACAATTCACCTTTGAGGGCTATGTCCGATATTACCTTCGAGGCAACGCCCCCCCCCACACACGTCTATCTATTTCTCTGGGATGGAATGGGGGACCCTAAACGGAATCTAATACACAGGTTCCAGCTTGCACCAGAGGTCAATCATGAGATTGTAACAGCCTGTAGCTCATTTGAGCCACAATCAACAACCATGAATAGCTGCGGCCGCTTTCTTAATTCTTTACATGACTCTGGGTAGACCATGTTGATACCGGGTTTTGATTATGACTAATTTGCTAAAACTCATCTAGGATCACTCAATCAACATTTTATACCACGTTGTGGAGCTTCAGAAAGCTTCACAAACCAATGGTACCATTTTGGGGTAGGTGCACTACCCATTTTAGTCTATTTTAGTGGGGATTGGGATGTTCATTGGGGGTACAGGATTTTGACCCATGGCCACTTGGCAAGCCCCTTGAACGTTTCTTCCCTCTCCGATTTCCGGAGGAGACTGCGCCGGCCACCGACGAGGCCAGACACAATGCCTGAGAATTGTGCCCCCACAATAGCCTGGGCTGTTCAAAGGTAATCCTTAATCCTTCCCTGGTGTTACGCAAGGGGTCCTCTTTGTAGGGGCTTTCCTATAGGGATCATGGATTAGGATTGGCCAACCCTCCATTTTGAACAGCCCAGATAGCTTTAAACAAAGTCATTGCAAGTAGGCATGAAAGCCACTAGGTCCCCCAGCGATTGGTGCCCTTTCTCACCCGTTTCTTTTTTGGAAACGGGAGGGTTCAACCCTAAAGAAAATAAAGCCATGTTCTTCCAGGTGAGTGCTTGCCCAAAGCAAATCCACCCTTTGAACTGTTCCGTGTTTTGCCGCTGTCCGTCACCACAGGTGCTCACCGTTTATTTAACCAGATCCTTTGGTTGCAGGTGAGGTCAATGACGAAGCCTCCTTTCTTTTCTCCTCCCTCCCCCTGCCCTCCCCCTGCCCTCCCCCTGCCCTCCCCCTGCCCTTCCCTCCCCTTCCCTCCCCTCCCCTTCCCTCTCCCCTGCCCTCCCCCTGCCCGCCCCCTGCCCTCCCCTCCCCTTCCTTCGTCTCCTTTCCTTCCTTCCGAATCCGTTTCGAGGCACCGCGGAGGTCCCGGTGGTCGGAGGACTTGGATTTGGGGCCCTTCAACCAGGCTGGGGCGATGGGCGGCACAGGAACGCACCTGAATCACCGGTGGGATCCTTAGGTTGCAGAAACCCGGTTTCTGCTATACAAATATATGCATTGTTATATATATATGTATATATATTAGCGACTAACTTTATTTACGTTAATGGAAACATGCAAGGGGCTGGAACTATTTTTTTGAAATGTGCATATTTAGCCGCAGAATGAGTTGGGGAACACCCCGAAAACGAGATAGGGCAAGCAAGCATGATAACATGGATTAGGATGACATTTTGGCAAGTGCAGCCTGGCAGAGCGTCTTGGGTTCAAGGTTGTTAGATGTAGTGTAGAGTAGACAACCTACGTCGCATGGTCCGTGGCAACTTACCACAGACTTTCCGGGGCAAGTACTGGCCAACCCTACGATGCCTAACTGCAAAAGGGTGTGAAGCAAACTTGCGAAGAAGCAGCGTAGCTGGTTTGTTCAAGATTTGCCCCTGGGCAATTTTCAGCCGTCCAAAGCGGGCCATGTTAAAACGAGTTCCAAAACGAGTTCAAAACGAGTTCAGAACGAGCCCCCTACAGCGTCCAAGTGAGTATTGGCCCAGTTCCTCCTCACAAGTATTACTTTTCAACAAATTGTGTAGCAGCAGTTTGCTTAGCGAAAGGTTGTGCGGCAACAACGAAGGAGACGAAGGAGGCGGCAAGCTAACCAAAGCCCGTTTACTTCTTTAAGCTCCTCTTCTTCAAGCTCTACAGAAAGTTGAGCCAGATAAAACGAGCGCGGTGTTGGAAAACGAGATAGGGGGTTGCGACCGAGCGCGGGGTTGGAAAACGAGTCAGGAATACCCGTCCATTATGCCATGTAACAAATAAAAACCGTTGCTCATATATATATATATATATATGTGTGTGTGTATGCATGCATATAGATGTTCTGTTTTTACCCCAATGTTGGACAGACCAAAGTGCCCTGAAGTTCCCCCTTTCGGTGGAAATGTAAACACCTGTTGGTTGCCGGTTAAGTTGCTGAGTTTCCGGTGGGGTGATGTTTGGCAGGGAAGTATGGGGGGAGTGCTTGGTCCGGGTCCTTCTACTCCTGCAAGCCAGTTCAGTGGCTCCCAGCCTCCCAGAAACCTACCTGAAGACTGTCAATTGTCAACCCCAAAAAAAGCAGCTTGACAAAAACAGGGCTCCTTAAAAGATACATTTTGCAACCATTTGAAGCATGTTGTTTTTCACCGCCAAAACAAATGGTGATATGTTTTTCTGTGTAGTTTATATATATATATATATCCCTTGAGCAGTACCGCACCCCTACGAGGTATATTACTCCTTGTGCCTTGCCAGCGGTAGTGCACATGACTTTGAAGATGCCCAAAGCGAAGCGAACTCTGCAGCCTCCTAGCTTTGCTCGCAAGATTTCCGACCCTTCAAGTGGGCCGAGGAACAGGAATTGGTTCTATTTGGGGGGGGGGGGGGGAATTAATTAAATCACATAGGTGAAGAATTAGTTGGCACCCATTGTCATTTTTTGGGTGTCAAATAGGCATAAATGAACACTGTGCCTAGCCTTCTGGCTCAGCCATGACCACCCACTGGTGTTTTCCTCGCCGAAGCAGCGCCAAAGCCCTCAACTCCAAGAACAAACAAAAGAGTCGTCCAAGGCTTTGTGTTTCAGGGATCCGGATGCATGAAAAACACCTGAACATGGCAACTTGTAAATGGCGTCCATGTTCAGGATCGAACTCTTGTAGTTGGTAAAGTTCACACGACACGTAGTGTAGGTGGATGTCTTCATCACTTTCGTAAATGCACAAAGAGTTGAGAACCTTTTCTGGCCAGGCGCAATCTAGTCCAGGAACTCTCCAACCTTTGCGGCCTTCGGCCTTTTTTCCTCTCGCTAAGCCTTATGGATCCGCATGCGTGATTTTCGCGTCAAACCGCCAGGTGCTGCCTCCACCAAAGGCGCGGCCCACTCTGATTGCGGCGCCAAAGCCAGCGCCCAAGGCGGCTGCGGCACCTGAGGAGGACGGGGGCTGGCCGCATTTGTTTGAGAACATGATGCGCTTGAAAGGGATTCATGGGCAATCGTCACCAATAGTCCGACCGAACTCAGCTGAGACATTATTTTCACTTTACTCAGGGCACCAAGCTTTAAGCTTCTTGTTGGTGGGTTGTTTGCCTTTTACTCAGGGCAAGCGGGCCTTTCGGGCGACTCCGCCAACTTACTTAGGGCAAGTGCGGCTCGCGTTTGGCCCCAACTCACCCTCAGACACCTTCATTTTGCTCAGGGCAACATACTGTGGATGGACGAATTCCTGCACCACCTGAGAGGCCCTGGAGGGATGATTCGCCTGTAAATACCAACAAACGGTGGTTTCAACCATGGTTTCCAACTGGTGCGAACGGATCTTGTCCATCAGTATGATTCACTTTCCGGACTCAGCCGAGACAGCCCACGTTTCAGGAGGAGGACATGGACCTGGGGCCCTTCAACTTCATCCTGCCCAAAGCGAAGCCCACCGGAGCCGGCGGCGCAGGCGAGCTGAGGTCCAAGGCTCAATAGCTCACTTCCTCAGTTGGGCTGGAGCCACTTTTTGGTAACCAAAAAGTGTCCTGGACTTTTTTCGGCCCATCCACTCAGGAAGTGATTCAGGCTTTGAAGCACTTGCGGCTTTGAAGCACTTGCTTGTGAGCAAGATGGAAGAACAATAATGCAAGTTTAAAAGGAACTCATATTTTGGGCTAGGATCCCTCAAAAACCTAAAGCGAGTCGCGAATTCGCCTTCAGAATAGTTTGTGGGGGCTTGAATGTAAGGAAGGGCGTGGGTGCGAGAGAAATGATGGGTTTGACAAATCACGCATGCTATGGGGTTAGTTTCCTTTGTAGCTTCCCTCTTCAGCGCCATGGATGGACGGGCGGGGCACAAAAACCATGTTTTACACCCATGTTCCACTCATATTTCCTCTTTTTCACATTGTTTTCCCTGTGCTGGTCCATATGATTTGGTTTTCCAATTCCAGGTCCTTTGGGGAAGTGAGTTCAGTCACTGGGCAAGGACTGGTTGAGAGCTGCGAGCTTTCCACGCAGGCCCGCCGCCGATGGATGACATAGACCTGGGCCCCTTCAACAACATTTTGCCCAAGGCGCCCGAGGCGTACACGGGGTGAAACGGGCTACTGCTGGGGTCATTATTTCGACGGTTTTTGGGGCTTAAAGTCAGAAAATGGGGTTGTTTCCCAGTACTGTGGGTGGACGAAATCCATTTCGCACCACCGTTGCTTCGTCGACGGACGTGTTTTGGCCACGTGGAATGTCTGGCACTCTTCCGCCGCCACCCCACGGTGCACATGCTGCGCTAAAGCAACACGGACCAGGGTGGAGTCGAGCCACCACAATTTCCTCTGCAAAGTGCGAATCACTTCGAGATCAACGCCTCACCCATAGGGCAACTGGTCCAACTGGTGTGCATAGTGTTCTGTACCTGTATGGGTTGACCGAAGCTGATTGTTTCTCGAAGCCGTTGCCCCGCACCTTCACATTGAAGATATGCGGAAAATTGCGTCTCGCGGACAGAGACACAAAAATCAACACTGCCCCAAATGCTCGCGCCGATGGACAGGGAGGGAAAGGCGAGGGAGAGACATGGAGAGAAACAGAGAGAGAGAGAGAGAGAGAGAGAGAGAGAGAGAGAGAGAGAGAGGGAGAGAGAGAGAGCAAGAGAGGGAGAGAGAGAGAGCAAGAGAGCAAGAGAGCAAGAGAGCAAGCAAGAAAGCAAGCAAACGAGCAAGCAAACGAGCAAGCAAGCAAGCAAGCAAGCAGGCAAGCAGGCAAACAAACAAACAAACAAGAACATTGGCTGTTTCGCATGATTGGTTCCATGAAATAGGCTTTCTTGTCGAAGCTATCGAAGGTGCTTGGATAGCACATTGCAAAACAGGGACGCTGGCTTCGGATGATTCCCCTGCGTAAATGATTTCCAACAAGCAAAGTTTCAACCGCGGTGTCCAAGTGGCGCGAACGGATTCTGTCCATCCACAGTTGCTTACCACATGAAGGTTCCGAAACTTGGATTGTCCCAAGCTCACGCCGACGGTCTTCTACACGGCTCTAGATATGTCAAGCAGCTTGGAGTGAAGCAAATGTTGCGCTTTTCGGAGTGAGCAAAGGAGCAAGTTGGTCTTCCATTTGCGCAGAGGGCAAGCAAGAAGACTTGATGAGATTTCGAAGCGCAAGCCAGACGTTGGCCCGGCCCTGGCAGGATGACTTGGACCTTGGCCCCTTCAGTGCGATCCTTCCGCCAGGGTGAGCGAAGGTAGAGCGAAGGTGTGAGCTGCGCCTATGGCTGAGAAACTCGCTGGGTGCGATACATGTTGTGGGGACTGCTTGGGGAATGTTAGTGGAATCTAGGGGAACACTAAGGAAATACTAGAGGGTATACCAAGCGAATTCTCCAGGGGAATACCGAGGGGAGAACCGGGGACTAGTAGTGGAATACGACTTAAACCATAAGCAACCAACCAAAAGGGCTTGGTATATTTGTCGGGTCACTGAGAGGCTGGACTATGTGGGGGAGGAAAGCGTAATTTGTCTAGGCACTCGTTTTTGGGAGCAGCGTGCGCGTTTAGCCAACTGAATCTGCGTGAAGGAATCCTCCACTAGGTTGATTTCCCCAAACCAACGGAAAGTTCAATGGGAAACTTGGGAAACTTGAGCCGCGCACAGCTCTCTCCGAATACATCAAGGTGACATCATGAACATGCAACTGACCCTTTCAAATGCGCTGCGTAGGAGACTGGGGTCTTTTATGTGCTTGTTTTGTGCGTTTATGTGGTTTGTTCGGCTACATGTGGATTAGCATCTGACATTATGATTCTTGGTGTACGCTGGGGTTGGGCCACGTTCAGGGACTCGGCCACTCAAGCGAATCAATCGCTTTTTGGGCAAGAAAGCCGCGCAGCTCTCGCTTGTCCGTGGGCAGGCGGCTCAGGCTGCCTAGTGCTTAGTGGCTGCACAGCAGGAAGTACCTGAACGCGCCATATCAAGAAAGACATCGATGCGCTGCACTCGAAATGCACCTTCCCGAAGACATGAAAGGACACCCGTTTCCCGAATAGTCCACACCGATTCAATGCTTTGCCCTGTTTGTTGTTCTGCCGTGGCGTTAGGCTGACGACTTTGTTTCCAGGCCCCTAGCAGGCAAGCGAGCTTGGCCAAGCTGAGCCTTCCTTCTGGTTCATGGTGCTTCTCTTTCTTCCCTTCTTCAGTCAGATTTTCTTCTTTGCTCTGTCTTGCTTCTCTTTCTTTTTGCCCTTGGTTTCCTGTTATCTTTACCTTCCTGCCGTGCCCTTTGTTTTTTCCCGTTCCCTTTGTTTCCCCTATCTCCCTTATTTCACCGTGTTTCCCTTTGTTTCCCGTCCCACTTCCCCACTTCCCCATGCATCTCCCCCACTTCCCCGCCTCTCCCGCCGCGTCCTTCCCCTCCCCTAACTCCCGCCAGACGCGGCGCGCTACGCGGAGCTCCTGGTGTCCACGGGCTGCTCCCTGAACGCGGCCAACGTGCTGGGGGAGACGCCGCTGGTGGCCGCCGCGCGGGACCCGGGGGATACCCATGTGGCCATGGGTCAGTGGTTTCAGTGAACCTCCGGAAAAAAAAAGAAAAGAACAAAAAACTGTGGGTTCTAAGATGGGTGGTGAATTCACCTACCAAACTGGTACCATTGCTTTTGACCCACAGCCACGTGGCCATGGAAACCGGAGAAATGGGCCCCATTTTGAAGGAAGGTTGTCTTTCAGAGGATCTTGAAACGTCATGTTCCTTGTTAGTGCGGGGAAGTGAAGGTTACGGGGCCCTAAGCATCTTGGGCCCCCAAAAGGCCAACTTGTTTGAGGGCCAAACCTTCCAATGGAGGTGCTGCCCCTTCAATGGAGGCCTTTTTGATCATGAACCTTTTTCTAAAGGGCCATGGCCAGGTGAGGACCTCCGTGCCGGAGGTCGTAAGGCTTTTGCTGGAGGCAGGGCGTCGGCCTGCTTTTGTTGGGGCAAAACTCGATGAACCGCTGCAAGCAAATCCCTTGCTTGCTTGGAACCAAGCAGGAAATGGATCATCCTTGTTCTATCATTCGCCCCATTGGGGAACTGAACTTTTTTGCTGTTGGGCAGGCCTTTTTCCGACAAACAACGAGTTTGGACATGTTGTTTGGCCGCCAAAGGCCCCCAAAGCCCTCGAAGATTCTGAATGAACCGTTTGATCCAAGCTTTTTCTTTCTTTGGGGGGAGCAGAGATGTGGGTCCTAATACCCCTTCTTGCTTTGCAAAGTGAGATCCATCAAAAGGCATTCAAACTGCCTTGTACCTTTCAACATCTCCATTGTTCAAACCAAACAAATCGGGGTGTCTCTCCGGTCCGCTTTGTGGAGCGGAATTAACGTAGCCTAAGTGGGTAAAACGAGCTCACCAGGATCATGGTCCCCTGCTTGACGCTTGAATTCGGGTTCCGGACATAGAATCACAAGTCATTCTTGCAAAACCAGACGGCCATTCTTTCAGGAGCCTCCAGTGTAATTGCTGCCCCTCGTAACTCCGCAAACAGTTATAAACGTGTTGCTCCTGCATCGCTATGGTTGGTAAGGATACCGGTCTAAGACGAGCATCTATCTAAGGGGAAGCTTCCCCATTCTTTCCAGGGATCCTTCTTCTCAGGAGACCATCAACACTCGGGGAAACGGCTGGTTTTTGAAAAGAACGATGGTTGAACAGAATGGTTGGAATCAACCCCGGAGATTTGTTTTATTGTTTATTTTCCCCTGGTGGTTTTAAAAGGAATCGATCACTACTGGGATCAAACGTTAGAAACAAAGCGGCCCCAAGCGCTGGGGGATCTACATGCGCCAGGCACGTGCGGATCCGGATCACCAGGAGAGCTCGAGGGGCGCAGACTCGGAGCATGCGCGGCTTTTTGACAGGGCCGCCGGTGGTTTCCCTTTGCTTCCACTCCTTTATCTACCCTAAGAAGGTTGGCCTGAATGAGTGAGGAAAGCCCTAATTATATGTGTGCATATAGCAAACTCACATATATATATATATATTATATATTATATATATATATATTATGCATATATATATATATATATATTTTGGGTCGAATATTTTCGCTTGTTGACCTCCGAAAGTGGCAGTGTCAAGAAAAGCCGTCGGTGGATTCGATTTCAAGTCTCGAAAGGGGATTCCAGTGGCTGTACTGGAGGGCTGAGGTGTGAACCCTATCGAAAACCAGCTCCGGACAGCAAGATCACGTGCAGTGACACCCCACAAAAGGAGCTCCAATCTGTTTTTGTGGGGCGGCTTGAGATGGCACCTGCTATACTGAACCCGTTTTTGTGTTTCGGGAATCCGGACATGAAGTAGTGACTTAGTTGTCCAATGTTTGATCGCTTTGGTTTTCAACTTTGCGCGTTGCCGTTTTGATCCAACAGTGGTCTGAAATCCCACTAATCGGAAATAAGCCAGGGGTTGTGCTTGATTTGGGGTTGCCATGTAAAAAAGTACCAGGACGCACTTGCGGAGACCGCGCTTATGGAAGCAGCAGGGGCCGACAGATGGAAGGGACTTGGGTGTTTGCAGGGTCACAGGTCCCTGTACTTCATTCTTGTCCAAGTGGTTGTTGCTGTGCTCATTTTTTTGGGGGGGGTCTTCTGAAAGTGCACTCTGCCGTTTGCGCATGCGTTTGCCGAGCTTCCCCAACAAACAGCTTCCTCGTTGATGTGATTTGCCGACTGTGCTCAGCATGCTATGTACACTTATCCATCCAGCTATCCTCCGCCGATGCAACTTGCTGATTTGCCGCAAGTTGGTTTGTCAAATTCAGGCATGGGCCCCAAAGGCGGAACCATGGATGCCCTGGGAATGAAACAAACAACAGTTGCCAGGTGCTAGCGCTTATCCTTCTGCAGGAGGATCCCTGTGCTTACCCTCAATTTGTATGGCAGGTGCCATTAAGAGGAAGCTGATCTTCCAGGTTCCCTCCCTCAAATGCTATGTAGTAGGAGGAAGGGTTAGCTGCTTGTTCGGCAACTCACGTGTCGGCTGTTTGCCGGTGCCTGTGTGGCTTGGTGATGCAGGGCTCCTTCAGTTTAAAGGTGGGCGCGTCTTTTTTGTGGAGGCACCCGTAGAAATGGTCGGTTTCCTTTTGGTTCCCTTGAACAGCAACCCGAACATGGGTACCCAGAAAAAGACACATCCTTGTCCTTTTGTCCTTCCCAGTGATGCAATTTGGCTTGCCACCCGATATGAAACACGAAAACAGCATGGCGAAGGGTTTTTGTGGAAAGTGGGATCCGCTGGGTGTTTTCTTACTTAACCATCGGCCTTTTGTTTTTGTTTTGATTTGGTAGCAAACTTTGCAAGATGTGGTTCCCTGGTAAGAATGGTTGAGGTGAGAGGTTCAAGGCTTGAACGGGACGGCGGTTTTAAGACACGATCAGCAATGACCAAGGTTGCGGCCAAAGAGGGTGTGTCTGGGTCCCCCAAAGTGGTTGCGTTCTGGGCTCTCCGATTAGGTTTGCGGGGCAGTGTTCCCTTTCGCTACGATTCAGAGGATTATTTTGGAGGATGTCACTTTCAAGGACCCAAGTTGAGCAATCAATGTGTCATTGTCTGTCTTTTCGCTTGCTTCATCACACAATTTATCACACTGCTTCTCTCGCAAATTGCATCCACCATACGTCCATGCGGTGTTCAATAACATAGCTTGACGTAATTAGCATGCAAGGAGCGCACTGTTTTGATCAGAGAATGAGTTGTTTCATCATAGAGCATGTATTAATTATCAACAACCAAACTTACCAAGTGGAAAACACACCTAGTTGTGCGCGTCCTTCACGGAGATGTTAACTTAGGCGTTACTCAGCGCCAGTATCTTAAGAACACAAGAGCTGACAAGCAACTGCCCTTGCCACGGCCATCACGTTGCTTGCTTCCCAACCCTCTTGGGCCTGCAAGTCAGTAGCAAACCAAACCAGGACTTCCTGTATTTCCACGTTTTGCTGGTTTGACACATCTTGTGGACTCCTGCCAGGTGAGTTGCCTTAGGGGCCATGTTTACACCCACTAACCTTGGGGATGAGGCTGCAAACATATCCTTGAGATGGGTGCCCCTGACATATGCCCCATACCAATCACCTATTTACATCGGCATTTTTCATGAGCTACGGCCTTCCCCAATGAACTCTGCAACGCTAGGGGAAATGTAGATGTCTCCCAGTAGTGCCCTTTTACCTTTTTTTTGGGGAGGGTTCCCCTTCTAGAATAGACTGCAGAAAAAAGGGGGAGCCCTTATTCCAACCTCTCTACTGGAGAACCTATAAAAAAAAGAGCTGTCCACCATGTGCTATTCGATCAGAGACCGCTCGAAGCCGATGCCATGGCGTGGGATGGCGATTGGGGCGGCTGGGGTGGCTGGGGCGGCAACGACTGGAAGAGGAAGCGCTCGGAGAAGTGGAACAATGAGCACCGCAGATGGTTTAGTCCACGTTTCTATTTTCCAGGGTTCCATGTTGGGTGCGGGTACCTATTTTTGGCCCATAGCCAAATTCTTGGCTCAGTGAGGGGTTGCTTACACGTTAAACAAGGATTAAGGGATCCCCGCCCCTTCAACTTGAAAATGGGGGGGGCGGGGGGGGGGGGGGGAGAACACTAGAAAAATGATGGGGCAACCCCTACCCCACTTTTTGTTAAGGTAGGTGGGATGCGAGAACACATGTTTCTTAGAGGAGGGAATGGGTCGCCAATTTGTCATGTTTTGTGGAGAGAGGGTACTTTATAGTAAGGTACCGTGCAGATGTACGAAAGTGCTCTATTTTGTTCTAAACGGGAGTGGCAGGGCTGGGGCGGGGGGGGGGGAGGGACTTGCAGAAAAAAGCGGCTTCCCTCATTGTTGAATCACCGTTTTGTAGCTGCAAGATTCTGTCAGCTTCCCATACAGCTGCAAGCCTCTTGGCTGAAAAGCAGATGCAGCTCCTGCTCCATTCTCTGCTTTGCTGTCTTCCGCAAAAGCCAAGAAAGCACCATAACTTCATGACTAAGCTACTAGTTACTCATGCTACGGTCACTGGCACTTGCATGTAGCCCACCGCGATGCTAGTGCCGGTGTCCAGGACTTTCTGCCGCAAAGCTTTCCTAAGCCAAGTGCGCAGCATCCACGAGCTGCACAGGGAACATCGCCTTGGTAAGCGGCTTCAGCCGACTCAGGCGGATGCTTTGGGACTTGCAGGGCGAAGCGAGGTTTATGCCGCAGGCTCATTTTTTCCCACCTTCTTCGGCCTGGACGTGCGTCTTCTCGGAAACGAAAGTCTTGAGCTCATGCCAATCCCCTTCTGGTGTTGGTCCTCTTTTTTTTTTGCGTCGCTCAAGTTCTCCTCGAGTGACTCGCACTGGTCCCAAAGGACAGGGAAACGGCACCACGGCCTCCTGTAGCCTGCAGCTCAAGTGGCTTACGCCGAGGTTTCCTCAGCTTAAAGCTATATCAGCTTCGGATTAGGGAGGAACTCGCAAAAGTAGATATAATTTCCTCAAGGGGCTTGCCACCCCTGAATCGTGCGTTCCTCATCAATCCGAAGTCAACATGAGTCTGTAAGACAGGCTGTTTGGCGTTTGCCGGCCAGCTCGTTCTCCTGGAGATGGTTTCAAAGAGATGGCTGGAGCACAACAGATAGAAACTCTGAGACAGCTTCTTTCAATTCTTAAGCTCCCACCCATGTTGCTGCCCTTAAAGGTTGATTTTTCAGGACATTGATCCAAGCACAGAACCCGTTGCACTAAGGCTTCCTTTCACCCGACTTCCACCGGCCTTTCCTAAGTTGACCTTCACGAACAAGCTTGCCAGCATGGCTCGGCAAAGCATCCTTGAAGCCACTATGCAGAAGGTTAGTATTTGCGAGGATGTTGCCTTACTGGACCTGGACCCAGTGTCACCACAGGGGATCATGGGTTTATTTCGACATATATTTGGGCACATCGCCACGGATGTTCCCTGAAAGTTTGCGCTTTATGTGTACGTTGCATATGTCGCATATGTCTTCGGGAAACACCACACTGGGTGCTTTTCTTTGGCTCGGTCCATTTTTGAGATCCCTAGATCTTGTTTCGTTCATGTTGGGATCCTTGGGATTGCAAAACTTAACATCACGAACTCACCGATTTCGGGAGTGGTAAAACAAGACAGCGTCGATGTGATTTATCACGCTATACAAACGTAGTATAGAAGCTCCATACCTTCTCTACAATACTTTCCCTGCAACCTAATGAGCACTGGGGTCCATTTCCAAAAGGGAGACTCCTCTGCGAACTATGGTTTTGAATTCCCAACCAAGTTTTACGGGAAGTGCCAAGTGTGTGGGTGTTCCTGCCAAAAGAACATGGCCCAGGCACAAATGCAAGCAATGCCGCAAGTGGGCGGCTCGGCAGTTTTGAGCTACCCCGCTGTCGGGGGAGCGAGGTAACCAAGGCCGAAGGGCACCCCCTACCTTCTTAGGGATTCCCGATTTCACTCCCTGAGTTCCTGGACATTAGACCCTTTGGGATTCAACCTTTTGGGAAGACCATGTTTTGGGCAAACAACAACATCAAACTCATGTTGGCCCCCAACAACTGGAGTTTCTGTTGGCCCATGGTCTTCCCAACGTGTTCTTGAAGACTTTCTGTTGGCAACTCAGGAAGTGAGCCAATGCTCCAACTGATTCTAAATCCAAGCTTCAAGAAGTCCCAACCCGTCTTGGCTCTGTAACCGTTACCGGGGTTTTCTGTCTCGCTTTCCATCACTTGCCCGAAGCAATCGGCCGGACGTGTCCTTTTTTGGATCCATGCAGTTGTTGGCAATGCCACTTTGGGAATGCAATGTTCGCTGTAAAATTGTTCATTTTAAAAGTAGTAGTAGTAGTAATTGTGTTTGCTTGATCGTCATTGGTTCTTACTGAGGGCAAATAGGACACCACCCTTGGCAAACCTCCAAACCACCAATTGGAAGGGGCCCCTTAAACGATACATTTGTGCCGGTTTCAAAAAAACATGTCCTTACCAGCAGATTCAGAGAATCCCATTGTAAAGCAGGCGGGTGCCCGCTGAGGAGCAGGAGGGCGAGTGGTCCGGCAAGGACTTCTACTGTGGCCGCTGCGCCGCTAAGTTTGCGCAGCAAGGGCACAAAGACGACTACGAGGCGTCGAGTGCTCCGCACAGATAGGGCCAGGGCTCCCTAGATTTGACCCGAGCCACACTCAAACCCCGGTAGATGAAGGACAGTAACGGAGAATCCCAACCATAAGTAGGTGCAGCCGCATTTTTACACCTCTTGACATGCTGCTGGGTAGGCGATTAGATGGTACCAGGTTCTGAGGATGATTGAAGGGAACAAATCAAGGCCTTGAGAGCGTTCGTTCACTTTGGGGGCCCCCTCTTCATCTGGGCCACAATCAAAACCCGGGTAGATGAAGGTTAGTAAAGGGCAGTCCCAGCCAGAAATTGTTGCGGCCGCCGTCTTAATTCTTTACATGGTTCTGGGTAGACCATTTTACAACCGGGTTTTGATTATGACTCATCTGGGGTTGAAAGGTTTTTTCAATCCGCCGGCCGTAAAAAATGGAATTGGGGGAGGGGGGATTGGGGAGGGGGGAGGGGTGACCCCTGGAGATCTCCATGTATGGTTTCACTGTCTCGCTTCTGGGGCAGAATTTTGTTCATCCGGGGGTTGCATGTGTTCTGAGTTGAGTTGTTTCCTTCTGAAGTTCCCCTTGCTTAAGAAGTACTTTTAAAGTACTTGTTCGCAATTCTTCGGATCGACGAATTAGGAAACAGTTTGGATACGTCTTGGGTGGTTCTCCTAAAGTTTCCCTTGCACAAGTACACTTTTGCTCTCACAGCCGCAGCCCCATCCGAACCGACTGGAGCTCCCCTCTCGACAGGGGGGGGCAGGGGGAAGGTTGCCACCGCAACACATGGCCGGTGGTCCAGTTCTGTGTCTGGTTTTTGACCAGCAAGTGAGCAGGCTTATCAATTCATAAAACCACAAAACAAGCAACCGAGCAATTGGGAGGTTGCCGTTTCCATGCGCCGGCCAGTTCCATGATTCCCGAAAAGAGGGGTCAATCTTGGGACTACTGTTGGCGTGAAGCCAGGGGACAATGCCAATATACCGCCGCTATATAAAGTGAAAGCCGATGGTGGAATTCACTCATGTTGGCTTACTCATCCCCTCTCCCCCTTTGCTTACCAACACGAACGAAACATGTGCCATCTACATCTACTTTTGCCTGGTGTAGTGGAAATTATACTGTGGATGGACAAAATCGACCTGATGGAAACCATGGGCAACCATTGTTCGTTGGACATGTATAGGGGAATCATCATGAGTCATCCCTCTAGGGCTTCTTAGTTGGTGCAGGATTTCGTCCATCCACAGTACCAGTTGGCTTTACGCCATCGCTTTGTCAGGGCGCCAGTGAAGCTGGAATCGAAGCCTGGCTGGGGGCGTACAAGGCCAAGTGGAAGGATCTCATTGAGATGGAGTGGCAGGAGGAGATTTGAGCTTCAGTTCCGGTGTAAAATTGGTGTGTCTTTTTTGAGGTTACCCCCCTTTTGAGTTGTTTACACCAAAACCAAAAGGTAAACCACAATTTTTAGGGGGGTCCCAAAAACTGACCCACATAAATGAAACAGGCTTTCACTGGACTCCACCTATCCAAAAATGGCTCCCTTTCAACGCGGAAACGACTGGAAAAGGAAGGGTGTGTAGGAGAGGGGAGTGTTCGTGCGTGCATGTGGGTGTGCCTTTTTTGTGGAAGGGGCACTCTTGTGGTTAGTTTTAAAAAGGGAAACCGAAACGAACAGACACACTTCTCGAGGGTACACTTCGTGAGAGTTTGTTCAAAAACGGGACGAAAGAGGAGCCCCCCCAACTTGCCAGCGAGCATTACGGGAGGAGCTCGGGGGGAAGTCAAAGGAATTGTCAGATGCTTCCCACGCATGTATGCCCTGCTTCCGAGCCACTTTGCAAAACACTTGGGAAATCAATTTGTTGGAGCAGCCAGTGTTTAATTACTTAGTGGCGCTTTGTACCAGCCTGTATGCGTTGAGCAATGCAGGAAATGCGCGTCATCGATGACCGGCTCAGAAACTGGCTCCTCAGCCGATTCAGCGAGTTCACTTAGCCAGGTTGGTGAATTCCGCCAGTTCCTGTCAGAGTCGCAAAAAAATGACTTGCCCAAGACCAAACCGCGGAACTTTCACCGGTTTGTGCCGTACTTGTTTAGTGGTGGCTGGTTTTTAGACAACTCGCCGGACAACAGGAGTCGCAATGTGGCCAATGCCCCCAATGGAAGAAAGGTTTCAATTTGGCAGGGTCGCTTCCACTCTCACAAGGCGGAATGGGAGCATTGGAATGGACCAACTATGGCTTATACACTTGCAGCTCATATAGCTGTTTAGACAATTTAGAAGAGTTACCCGTGCTCCCGCGCGTGTCTATTAGGGTCCATCAACGTGAATATTATTAGGGGTTCTATACAAAGACACTGTTGGTTCCCACTGGTTCCCACTGGACTTTTCAGGCCAATCCACTCACTTCCGTGGCCTCCATTGTTCCGTTTTGGTCAATCGTGGGAGCGAATCATGTCATGCGGAAGTCACTTGGCTATGGATGTTAATAGGCAACCACCTGAAGAGGGTTGGTGGACTTAAATCCCCACCGAAGTTTGATGAAATTCACGCCCGCATCACAATTTCTCTTGGGACAAAGCATCACGACATTGATTCAGGGGTTAAACGAATGAAGCTCCTTCGTACTGGGTTCCCTTATATCCTTTACTGGTTTCCCGACCTTTGCGGGTCATGGGTGTGTCTTTTTTGGGGAACCCCTTTCGCAGGTGCCCTGGGAAAAAATAAAGGACAGGAACCCCCTTTTGGTTGGTTTCAAGGGGAAACCCTCGCAGCCAAACCCCTTAGTTTGTTGGCCTTTCAGTGTTTAGTGGTAGTTTCCATTTAACCCACTGAAAGTTAGTCACTTTTAGCGGGGAATCAGAAAACGGGCAGCCCAGTACAGCGAAACCAAAAGGACACCAAGCCAAAGGTCTTTGCAGCGGCTGGTGGGGCAGGGCTTTTGCATCACAGACCTGGAAGCCCGGAAGCGAGGCGGGTCAAGCCTGGGACACCAACGGGTCTGGTTCGTTGGTTACCCTCCCACCGTCTAACATGGAAGTCCACAAACCCCCCTTCCAAGAGGAAACTTGTCTTTCTACAGGGGTTTGCGCACTTCCATGTTAGTCAATGGGAGGGTAGTAGTAGTGGTTGCTGGTTAGGAAACCCCTGGTTGATTGGGAAGCGGGTGTCTCCCCATATAGTGGGGTTCATCACTTTTGGAGGAACCCTCCTCCATTAGTAGGATGGTTTGTGAATTTGGAGTCAACATCGGTTGGTGGAAAACGGCGTGCTTTCCGAAAGGCTGGTGAACAAGCGCTTGAAAAATAGCATCTTTATGAACCCCCTTGCAGGTTCCATGCTTGCTTTTGGGAGAGTAGGTTTGTTTGGATAAACCATCCCTTGCACTGAGCTGCGTCGAAATCCTTGGGGGTTTTCAGGTCCTGATTGGTTGCCCCGTGGTCGGGGGCAACCATGGTATTATCATGCAAATAAGGGACTTGCCATTTGATCCTTTTCGTAGTTGTTTAAATTTTATGGGGCCCAGGTCGAACACTAAAGCTGGTTGGTTGAAAACACCCGGATTTTGGCATGCCCGTTATTGGGGCTGTCTCCAGTACCAGTTTCAACCGGAATGTGCGTGGGCATGCGCGCGCATGAGTGGGCGGCGGGTGCGGATACGGGCATGTGTCCGTTCGCTTGCACGTGTGTGCGTGGGTGGGTGGTGGGTGTGTCTTGGCCGTTTGTGGAGGGGGCGAGCGTTGTACACCTGACTGAGCTGACTGGCCAGAATTGGCTAAAATTAGGCCTGCGGCCAGGGGCGTATCCGCCCACGGGTCACTTTCCGTGGAACTTTGGCCACGCCCTTGCTAGTTAAGGGGTTCAGCGAAAGACATGATGCGATTGGAGACCAACTGCCACTACGATAGCCTTTCAAAAAGAAACGAGAACGACCAAATGATAGCCCTTAGTGGCACGCTTCCCTTTACTTTAAGGGTTTGTGCACTTCCATGTTTCTTGGTGCGAGGGTAAGCTAAGGGGGACAACCGGATTGGGGGTCTTCAGTTTGTGGATGCGGGAATGGCTGGAACACCCTACAAAGTTGATGTTGTCTTAGTGGGAAGGGTTGCCCCAGTACCCCATCCGACCCTTTTCGCATGTATTTGTTGCAGATGGCTTCCACACCCCCACATACATACCCCCTTTGTAACATGCCTTGATTGGCTATATCCAACCAACTATGTAGCCACTTGTTTAAATGGGCAAAAACCACATTTTCCTGTGGAGCAGGGCTTATATGATGGTTCTGTGTTGGGGCTCCGCGCGTTTCCCCCGGTAATTGTGTGTATGGTCTCACTTACTGAGTTCCTGGGCTTTCAGCTCTTTGTGAGGACCATTTTAGTGGTAATTCAAAGTTCAAACTTTTTCGGCCGATCCACTCGTTCGGAAGTGTGTGGTGCTTCTACGCACCCCCCTCCCTCCCTCCCCAACACAGCTTTGCATTTTGATTGGATGTTCGGACTTTAACTTTGGGCTTTCCATTAAACCACTAAAAAAAAAACTTTTAGCAGGGGAGCAGAAAGCAACCGAGATAGCCCAATCCACTCGCTGGGAAGTGAGTGCTTCTACAACCCCTTCCTTCCCCTTCCGTAGCTTTGGCGAAAGCGAACTCCGAGAGGCGCCTTCTTCGGCAAGGCCAAGGTGGCCTTTTCCAAGCCCACGATCCCCAGGCGACAGCGGATCGGATCGACGCGGGCGCGGGGGTCGTAGCGCGGCAGTCTCTCAGCCCTGTAAACCTTGGCGCGGGTTCGAAGGCAATCCGCCAGATCTGTCCGCAAGAGGCTACGAAAGAGGGATTCGGGTTGGCCACTCCCTTTTGAAGGTGGGCCACTCCATTTTGAACAGCCCTGCAGCTTGTTCATGTGAATCCCAGGCTAATCAGCCCATGCTGAGAGGCGTTCTCGCTGGTCGGAATCCCGAAGGAGTCCCCAGAGTCAAGTCCAGCGGTTTGTGGATCCAGGATTCCATGAACTAGGATGGCTATCCATCTAGACCTTGCCCCTTTAGTGCAGCTTCAGTAGGGACTTAAGGCGAGAATAGGAACCCAGGATTTCCAGGATGAAACAATAAACACCGGGTTCGTGGTTGTTGTTGGGAAACATTGTGCATTCTTGCTTATTGTGGTTTAGTGGTTGAAATCCACACTTAACTGCTAAAATTTAAATTGTTGCTCCCCTTCCAACGTCAACCAAGGGTTGATTATGATTGCTTGTTCGGGGGGGCGTCCCTGTTCGTACTCCCAGTTCTTCAGTGGATCCCACCCTGGAAGCCCGTTTTGTTTTCGAGTAGAAAGTCCTCGCTACCAATAGGTTTGGGCTCTTGTGTTCCGGACCCGGCAAAATGGCTTCGGATTTCCTTGTGGTTGCCCTTTAAAACCAACCAAAAGGGGGTTCACAAAAACAACATCTCACCCAGGGTTTGACCGGACCTCCATCCCTTATGGAAATTGTGGTTGCCCTTTAAAGCCAACCAAAAGGGGGTTCACAAAAACAACATCTCACCCACGGTTTGACCGGACCTCCATCCCTTATGGAAATTTCCCAATTCGTGTCAAGGGGCAAACTTGCCCAAAGCGAGTCGACCCGTTGAACTTTTGGCTTGTCAAGAGTCCACCCCAAAAATGCAAATTCTGAATTATTTTCACAGGTTCTTCAAGCTAGTGACCTGAAACCCGCCTGGTGAAGGGTCATATTGAGAGCTTACTTGAGCCAGAATCAAAACCCGATGAAGGTTAGTAAGGGACAATCCCAGCCATAAATCATTGCGGCTGAACCATGTATTTCCTTACATGGTTCTGGGTCAACCATTTTTCTGCCGGGTTTTGAGTGTGACTCCCTTTGAACCTATAAGGGAATTTCTTCCTCTCGGTTTCCGTTTGGACCAACTCGCGGCAGCCCATGTCGCTTTGGAGGGGTCATCAGGCAGAGCCGGAAGTTCAGATCCTTGCCCACTAAAAAAGCTTTCGCTTCAGGCACCAGTTCTCCTCGGGGGACGAGGTGATCGTCTCCAGGGGCAATCCATTGGACAAGAAGCAGGCGTGGAAAGGCGCGAACTGCAAGGCCCTTTGTCTGGCCGGAAAAAAAAGCCGAGGCCCAAAATGGAGAGCTGGAGATGCGCTGAGCGGTTTTTAGAATGACAAGGGGCAAGAAGTCAGAAGGGGACACCCGCCGTTTCTACTGGTCTCTACTTGTTGTTGTTTTGAGCTCAACACCTTCCTGAAAGGCCGAGTTAAAAGGAGTCTTCTTTTGACGTGATGTTTGGAGGGAACACGGTACCAGGCCCAGGACCCTCAAAAACATGCTCTCACAGAAGGGATGTAATTAAGAGGGTTGATACGGGTAACTTCAAAAACTAGCCCTGATTCTTTTTGACATGGTCTTGCACCCTCTTTTTCAAAATCAGTCAAGTCCAATTGAATTAGTGGCAATCTTTCATCTGTCCGGGGGTGTTTGCATGTGCCACGCATTTCAAAGTACGTCCTCCAACGACCCTTAAGGCACAGTGGCCTCAAGACTAACAATATATGAACTTGTGCTATCTTGTGCTTTGGTATTTTGATAGACGTCACTAGCCACGTAGCATGTTAATTGCCACATCATGTTGCTCGTTGAAGCATGTTGTCATTCAGCTTGGGCAAGGATAGTTTAGACAAGAACAAGCTCCATGTTTCCCGTGTTCGTGCCATCTCGCACAAGGAATACTGCACCTGGCAGTTTCTTGCAGGCCTCCAGTGGCATCTTGTGATGAATCCCCATTAATAAAAAAAGGGGACAGCCCCCCTATTCATCAACTAGGGGTTGATTAATCCGGGGATCCAATTCAGCGGCACAGGCGAGATCCTGGAGCTTCTCGGAACGAAGCCGGCAGGTTCAGTCGGCTTGCTCCTTCGGGGTTCCTTCCAAGTCCAAGCGAAGTGTTTTTTTCCCGAGTCATCCCAATCCATGAGGTATAGCTACACGAGTGCATGTGACCCATTTGGAGGGTGTAACTTGACTGCTATTGGGTTGGATCTTTAGACTTTAACTTTTTGGAAAATAAAGGTGTTTTCCACTAAACCCCCAAAAAGTTAAACTTTTTGCAGGGGGTCAACAGCAACCAAGGTAACTGTGGATAAATCTTGCATGCATAGGATTGTGGGGGCATAGTCCAAAATGAACAAGAAACGAAACAGGTTTGGTTGGCGTGTCAGTGGATCCCACCCTTTGAAGCTCTTTTGTTTGGTGGGTCCCCCACGAAAAAATGGAGTCACCCTCCCCGCAAAAAAAGAGGTTCCATGCCGGTTACAACTCTGGCCACTGGGCAGCTGGAAATCGGTTGGTTGCAAGGGGTATGGCTTGAATCAGGTAAACTGCAATTTGCGTTTTCGGAAGATTTGTTTACTGGTTCCTTGGTGTTGAAAGGGAATCTATCACGACAGTTTTTCCAGTGGCCTTACTGTAAGCAAACGGAGGCACAGGGAAGGTATTCCTTGTTACAAAGGGTGCCACCTGGAACAATGGCCCGGAAACGGGTCCATCCCAAGAAGATTCACAGCGTGTTGATTGAGTCAACTTGAGCGCCCAAAACTCCAGGAGGGCCATTTTAGCAGGTGGTTCTACCTGGTCTTATGGTGGTTGTAGGAAGGCCTGTAGAAGCCTGACAAATGTCAGTAGAACCGAAATCACTGGGTTTCGGCCGCTCAGGGTTGGTGGCTTGGAACAACCTGGTCCTTTCGAAGGAGTGGGGAGGCACCCCCTTACCTCTAGACCACCTACCCAAGCAACCAGCTAGATGCACGCCATGGGGCCATAATCAGACGCAACAGTATTTGGCGCATTGATGGAGCGAGCTCCTAGAGTTGAAACTGCCTATTGTCAGCGGCCCATGCAGGTCAAAATCGGACTTCGGACACGGCGGCCCAACTCCAATTGTAGAATCACGCAACATAGTCATTGCCCTGCAGATTGCATGGTAACCAAAACAAGTGGGCTTTCAAAAGCATATTCCTCTTAAAGGATGGTGTGTGGGGTTCTGTGGGTTTCATTTAGATTAGGGTGACGCCTGAGGTTCCAGTCAAACAAACCAGCGTGGCAGATTTTTGAGAAGCCGGCCTTATGCTTTCAGAAAGGCCGTCATACTGCATGACGTGCAATCCGCCTTACTGGTGTTCCTCCCGGTGAGTTTCAGAGCGAGGCTCGGGATGAACCGCCTGGCCATCGTGTCCGACGATGTGCCCTGGGACTTGTCTGGGCGCTGGCGCCTCGACTGTGGAGCCAACAAGACGGCCTACGAGAGGATGGGGTGGGATCCGAGGAAAGCTGCTGCTTTTCACTGGCCACTGGCATGCGAACAATTATACCATGAACTTGTGCATGCATGGATATGTGGGTACGTACGCACGCGCGTGGAAACATTCACATAGCACTACCTATAAATGTATACAGTGCAGACATCCACACAGGGCATTAAAGGGGGTCAATGTTGGCGGTGTAGTGTCCATTCACGAGACGCGCAGGACAAAGTCGGCCTTGGGGTACGTCACTGGCGCCAAGTACAAGTCCGACCTGCGGCGATTGGTGCTCAACGAGGATCGGGAAGCACATGTAGCATAAACTCAGTTGGCGGCTTTTTTTTATACCATCGCATGGTCTTGGCAGACCCGTTTCGATACCAGGTTTCCGATGTGACTCAAATGGGTGGAGGCATTCGTCAAGAAAGGGAAAGGTGGCTTTTTGAACGCCAGTATCAGGAACCAACGACAAACTAAATTGAACCTGACCAGCCGAACACCCATCCGGTGTCTCGTTTGCTTAAAAGACTCGGATCAGGTTCGCAACTGATTTGGACAGTTGGGGTCAACTAGTTTGGGGTCAACTCAACCGTTTGTTGGGGTTAACTTGGCTATTTCTCAAGCAGTTGGTCACTTCTGCTGGTCCGGCATTTGGCGTGGGCCATTGAGGGCGTGCCTGAGCCTGCCTGAGCATTGCAAATGTTGCATCACCCAGCATTGTTCCAACATGTGCTGTTGAAGACAGCAGGTGAGACATGCTATGATTGGTTGTTTTAAAACATGTTTGGTCCCCAAAAAGCTAGGCAGGTATATGTTTCAATCATAAGTTGGCGCCGCAAAGCTAGGCCGGCAAATGGTTCACGCATAAAGTTGGTCCCCCAAAACTGGCTGGTATGCGGTTCACACAGTTGGTCCCCACTCGGGCATAGTTCAAACATAAGTTGGTCCTAAAATGTTAGGCTGGTATATGGTTCACACGTAAGTTGGTCCCAAAAGAGCTGCTGGTCCATGAGCAATGCCCCCCAAAACACACTAGAACCATAGGGCCCCGAGCTCCTAAGAGGAGGGCGAGCAGTTCCTTCGCCAGCTGCCTGACCAGGCGACACGCCCGGTCCTGGGGTTTTGGGGGGAGCGGCGACGCTCCCTTTGCACTGGGACGGTTTTTCAGGGGGCCCAACCAAAAATAGCAGTCCCTGTTGGTTTTTTGCCGGTTTCCTGTTGGGGTCCCGGTCAATTCCCGTTGAAACCGGTAGACAAGCTTCAAAGCAGACACACCCTCCTGATGGTTGGGACGAATGTCGCATCAGGGGTTCCCATAGTAAGGAAATGAACCAATTTAGGAGTTTTTTCTGATTAGCGTCTCCCAGACCGTGTCAGTGGCAAACAAGGAAGCGAGGGGTTTAACCGGGTCTTAGAGCTACTGTTTTGTGACTAAGGCAATGCCCTTCAAAGCGACGAAGTGGTCGCGGGAATCGCCACTTTGGTATCACAGAAAGGTCATGTTCAACAACTATGCCCGAACTTGCAGAAATATCCAACTCTTGTTGAGAGACCATCATGTTTTAGCAAGCTCTTTCAAGATGCGACTCAGAGGGGTCAAAATGTGGTAAACAACGGTACTTGCAACATGCTAGCTTTTGGACTACGATTCTTAGTGGTTGGAACGTCCTCGTTCGGTCAGGGGTTGCACGTGCTTGTGTAAGCTCAAACGTGTATTACTGCAGTCCACAAAATGTTTCCATCTTTCAGACCGTGACCCATGTTTGCATCAGAGAGATGGCTGGCTTACGACAGGGATTTGCAAGGGTCCCCAACTAAGTAGGTCATCCAGTAGTGCCCTTTCTCACCCCTTTTTTGGTTGAGAGGGTTCAACCCTACTAAAATAGACTACAGACAGAAAATGAGCTCAGGTGATATCCCCAACAGCATGCGGTGCTCCTTTTAGTGCTCGCACCACCCCGAAGCCCTCGCAGAACCTCTTGGAACCCTGGTGGAACCCTGGTGGAACCCTGGTGGAACCCTCGTGGAACCTTACCTCAGGGCCGCCCCGGACCACCCCGGAGCCTATCTGGGCTGAGACCCCAAAGCTTTCAGCTGTTGGGGAAAAACAACAACAAAAACAAAATAAGCTCAGGTGACATCCCCAACAGCATGCGGTGCTCTTTTTAGTGCTCGCACCACCCCGCAGTCCTCGCAGAACCTCGTGGAACCCTGGTGGAACCCTAGTGGAACCCTGGTGGAACCCTGGTGGAACCCTCGTGGAACCTTACCTCAGGGCCGCCCCGGACCAACCCTATCTGGGCTGAGACCGCAAAGCTTTCAGCTGTTGGGGGAAAAACGGGTACCCTTATTCGAACCTCTCTACTGGAGGACCACACACGACAGATGTTGAGCCTCTCCCTGGTCGCCAGCGTCATGTCAGGTGGAGGATGCAGATTTCAGCGCACTCAACGCCTCGCAGCAAGCGGCGGTGCGGGCGGTGGAAGGGCAAAACCTGGGGCTCATCCAGGGTCCGCCCGGCACAGGCGGGAGGGTCGGGAGGGGCGAGGGTAAAGTTGGTGTGGGCAAAGGGTCGTTTCAACTTCTGGGCAAGTAAGCTGCGAACCTGCGTTTTTTCAAAAGAGCGAAGGGTAAACTGATGGGGCATTAGCTTTTTGCAAGTCAAAGTACCTTTGCAGCCTCATGGGATTTGCTTTTTCTGCGACGGGCCAGAAGGACAAGCTATAGAAAAATAGCACGCTTCCCGTGTTTGTGGACTTCTTATTTTTTTGGAAAGACTGTGTTGCACTGTTCTCGTAGATGGTCAAACCCATGGCGGCTCGCACATGTGATGTGACCTGCTTGACATGGAAGCAATGCTCATTGCTGGCTCTTTCGGGGGTCTCTAAATTCAGGCTGTGCTGCAACATTGGCCCAGAAAGGTGAGCTGACAGCTGAAAGGTGGTTGCACATGGCCGTGTGACAAACAAGGCAGGCGTTCATAGCCCTTCTTTCCCCAACAAAGCTTGCTAAGATAGTTTCCAACGCCCCCAAACAAGGCCATACAAAAGGCTCCATATTGTGTTTTCCTTGGGCAGTGTTCTGGGGGAGGTCGCTTGCAAGAGCAAGTATCGCAATGCCCCCTTCACAAGGCAACTAGAAAGATGTGCGTGAGGAGAAGGGGTCGGGATCCTATGCGTGTGGATGTTGGTTACGGCCCGCAGGCAAAACTACCACCACGTGCCAGATGATTCGACGAATGGTGGAGAGGAGGAAGAAGGAGAGCAGGGCAAGTTTCAAGAGCACTTCTGGGAACCGCTTTGAAGAACATGTCTGGGGCGGTTGGTTTTCTCCCTACATGCCAGATTGGTTCATCCTCACCATTCTCAGCAACATGCCGCCCGTCTGAAGAGCCTCCAGGCCCCACACCACTCATAAGGTACGTACGATTCCTCATGCGAGTGATGTGGAACATACCGGTCCCAGCCAGATCCCTGAACTACTGCCCTGCAGAGTAACGTGGAACGCAAGCGGAATCATTTCGGAAGGAATCAGTTCTTGCCTTCATTGATGGACCCCATTTGGGGGTTACGTGTTTTGTACAGTCGGCAGTGCTTGCATTTGCTTAATAATATGTGTTATATAGTTCCCTTGTTGCTTTTAAAGGGAATCTATCACTACTGGACATACGTAGGTTCTTATTTTTCCAGAGGCGCATCCGCAAATGGAAGGCAGGGAAGGACTTCCAGTGAGGTACTCACTCGTGGGTTGTGGCGTTTCGAAGCGAGGAGGGCCTCCGATCCGGGATCCTGGTGAGCGCTGACAGCCCCAGCCTCAGGTAGTCAAGATGAGGCGACATCTGGAAGCATCTGGAAGCGTTGTGGACATCTTTGGAGCCGCACAATCGCACATTTGTAGTGTGGAGGATATTTTTCGTCCAGTGTTTTGCCGGGGGGAACTCTGACAACCTTGGAACATTTGATCCAAACATGCCGACACTCATCTAATCAGGCGCCTTTTCCCCTTTCCAGGTCCCTTTTTGAAGTGCCCCAAGTGATTCCACAAATCTCATCTTCTGAGTTCCTGACAGTGGAGCAACAAATTTAAGCTTGGTTTGGCCAAGCCAATCAGGAGACATTGGCTGCGAGGTACAACCAAGAAGAAGCAAAAATGAAGAGCTCTGGCCCCAAGAAGTGACTCAGCCTGGTGATGTCCAGGTGCTGTCGCTGTAGCTTTTTTCGTGTTTCCGGCCGGCCGGCCACGGCCGCGGCCACCCAGCTCACCGAGGCAACGTGGCGGTGGACCAGTTGCTGGCGGGACTCCTCCGCCTGGGGGTCAAGGCTCGGGGATGGTTCGAACCACCAAAATTGTTGCCCCCCCGCAAACAAAAAACAGGACAGAGACGAAGTAGATCAGCCCAGATAGGCTCCGGGGTGGTCCGGGGCCCTCAGGTAAGGTTCCACGAGGGTTCCACCAGGGTTCCACGAGGTTCTGCGAGGGCTGCGGGGTGGTGCGAGCACAAAAAGGAGGACCGCATGCTGTTGGGGATATCACCGGAGCTTGTCTGTTGGGAAGACTCGAGAAATGGAATCGAGGGACCCCAACCCCGCTGCGCCAAAAGATGGGGAGAATGCCAAAACATTGCCAGACTTTCAACCAGCAACACTTTCCCACGTAAGAAAAAACAAGGTGCCCTCAAAAGGAGATGCACCCAAGTGGGATAGGCATCAAAAAAATATTAGGCATCAAACAAAACTTATTAGGCGTCAACAAGAAACTTATTAGGCATCAACACAAAACTTATGCTCATTCCTATGGGGGGAAGGAAGGAAGGAAGGAAGGAAGGAAGGAAGGAAGGAAGGAAGGAAGGCAGGCAGGCAGGCAGGCAGGCAGGCAGGCAGGCAGGCAGGCAGGCAGGCAGGAAGGCAGGAAGGCAGGAAGGCAGGAAGGCAGGAAGGCAGGAAGGCAGGAAGGAAGGCAGGAAGGCAGGAAGGCAGGAAGGAAGGAAGGCAGGAAGGCAGGAAGGCAGGAAGGCAGGAAGGCACTAAGGCAGGAAGGCAGGAAGGCAGGAAGGCAGGAAGGCAGGAAGGCAGGAAGGCAGGAAGGCAGGAAGGCAGGAAGGCAGGAAGGCAGGAAGGCAGGAAGGCAGGAAGGCAGGAAGGCAGGAAGGCAGGAAGGCAGGAAGGCAGAAAGGCAGGAAGGCAGGAAGGCAGGAAGGCAGGAAGGCAGGAAGGAAGGAAGGCAGGAAGGAGGGAAGGAGGGAAGGAGGGAAGGAAGGAAGGCAGGAAGGCAGGAAGGCAGGAAGGCAGGAAGGCAGGAAGGCAGGAAGGCAGGAAGGCAGGAAGGCAGGAAGGCAGGAAGGCAGGAAGAAGGCAGGAAGGCAGGAAGGCAGGAAGGCAGGCAGGCAGGCAGGAAGGGAGGAAGGGAGGAAGGGAGGAAGGGAGGAAGGGGAGGAAGGGAAGGAAGGGAAGGCAGGAAGGAAGGGAAGGGAGGAAGGAAGGCAGGAAGGAAGGAAGGAAGGAACCCCCCTCCAACCACCCCACTGATTTGTAGAAGGTTGACAGTGATTAACGCACCTTTGGCTGAATCACTTCTTCGATCGTCGTCACACTTTGTTGAATCATCACTTCTTTGAGCATCATGGGGGGGCGGCAGCCCCCCCCAACCCCCCCGCTGATGTTCAGAATGTTTACAGAGGTTTTCGCACCCTTTGCTGAATCATCACTTCTTTGATGATCACCACCCGTTGTTGAATCATCACTTCTTCGAACATCATGGGGGGGCTGCCCCCCCCCCAACCTCCGTGCATATTTGTAGAATGCCTACAGAGCTTAACGCACCCCTTGTTGAATCATCACTTCCTCAAACATCATGGGGGGGGCTGCCGCGCCCCCCAACCCCCCCGCTGATTTTCAGAATGTGTACAAAGCTTAACGCACCCTTTGCTGAATCATCACTTGAACGAATCATCCCTCTCTCTTTTATTCTTTCTTTCTTTCTTTCTTTCATTCTTTCTTTCTCGCTCTCTCTCTCTCTCTCTATCTCTGTTTTCTCCTTTTTTCTTCATGTTTATATCTCTGTATATTTTTCTTCACTAATTGCGAAAATGCTGCGCCTGCGTCAAACTCTGCACCGTACCTTGCGAAAGTGCTGCGCCTGCCGCGAAATTGGTACCTCTTGCGAAAGTGTTGCGCCTGCCGGGAAATCTGGACCGCACCTGGCGAAAGTCCTGCACCTGCCGCGAATCTGTACCTGATCTTGCTAAAGTGCTGCGCCTGCTGCGAAATCTGTACCTGACCTTCCGAACGTATTGCGCCTGCCACGAAATCTGTACCTGCAGGAGCGAAGAAGGGGTAAGTGAGGCCCCTGTATTTCTTCTTGGGCGCGTTGTCGTGGAAATCTTGAAGTAGAGTGCAAGCGCAATCATTTGTCAGCGTTGGGCCGCCCCAACATTTAAACATGCCTCAACCAGAATGCTTAAACCATCCCATCCCAACCGACATGGAACCTGACTGGGGGGGCAGGGGCGGGGGGCCATTTTCCTTTAAAAAGGGGCCTTCTGTGGCCACGTGGACAGGAGGGTCTCGTTTTGGTGTCCCTTTGAAGTCATTGGGGTCCGGCATCTCATTTCCTCAGGGTGGTTGGGTGAAACCAATTCAACTCCCATGGGATGCTCTCCGACTCACCAGGGCTTGGGCCTACCCCGTTTTGCAACATGCTTGAGCTATTGCTCACTCGCCAAGAGCTATCTGGACGTGATTCTTTTAGGGAAGGCTATCTTAGCCTGAACGGCAAACAAACAACTTCGGACTGCTTTTGGTCAAGCAGCTCAGGAAGTGAGATTATTGCAACAATAAGGATGTTTGTTTTGTGGCCCCCCTTTTTTGTTTGGCGACAAACTCCCCCCCCCCCCTTTTGACGTACATGCCCATATCCTTGTAGTTTTGACCCAGCTTTCCCTACGTACACTTGGTTCCAAATCCAGGCGCTGCGCATTGGGTTTCCGTCCAAAGTGACGCAGGAGAGTGGGACGCTCGTGACGTTTGGACTTGTTTCCTGGGACTGTGTTTCTGGAGTTGGTCCGACCTTAAATCAGGTTGTTTTTTGGGTAAACCTGGAAACTACCATGGAAACCACTCGTCAAATGCACGTATTTCCCGTATTGGTGGCTTTAAAACATCACTATGTGGGCTATGTTAAAGTTGCGAGTTCCTTGTTGTACGGATAATGTTTCTATGGGAAACATCGGGGATCCTGTCTCGCTCCGCATCTCACCTTTGTTTGCCAGCCTTGCATTGTTTCATGGTGGGCAGGCCAGGTGAACAATAATTCCTTGTGCAAGCATGGCAACTCACCGCAGAAATCGGGCTGCAAGCCTTCTTTTAGAGACGCGATGTGTTGAAGCAAGTGACACGGGTGGCCAAGTCGTTGGAGCCTCTTTCCAGAGAACTGTGCAAGCTTATGTCTGCTCGCGTGCAGCGCGTTGCGGGGGGCTTTAACCTGGGTTTCTTGTTGTGGCTGCAGTGCGTTCTGGCATGGCCAGATGTCACTTTCACTTGGCGGATAATTGTAGGTTTTGATATTGTCGGAGACGTGGAAGTAAGCAACGTCCTCCGACCTACAGAGCCTTCCCAGCCTGCCCAACCTTTGGAAGAGCTGTTGCGCTCCAGCAAGACGTACGTTGACAGCTTGTGCGCCTCCTTGCGTCCGCACCAGTCTCCAGCCATGGACAAAGAGCTTTTGCGACTCACGCAAACAGATATTGACAAGGGTGCAGGGGAAGGTCTGTTCCTCCGATCCGACATGGATGCCAGGTTCGGGGCGGGCGCGTGGCGTCCCCTCCCACGGCATGTCATTCAGCAAGAGCACAACAACAAATGTCGCGCCATCGACAATGGCAAAGCATCGGGCCACAACGATGCTACCATCACCAGGGAGCGCGTGCACACTACATCGCTTGAGTTCTTTGCGTCAGCAAGCAAAGCCTTTCTGTCTCACAAGCAGTGGCTGCAGCAGGAGGCTACTCGTGCAGGCGTAAGTTTGGTGCTGGAAATTGGAGTTGATGACGAAGAGGACGCATATCGCAAGTATGCCACCTCCGACCGACAGCAGCACTGGTCAGTCGTCGCCTGGTATCATCATGTTTGGCGTACCGTTGCCTTTATGCCGCTGGTTGGGCATGCCTTTGGCTTGAAATCCAGCGTCAATAACTACAATCGTGCGCCGGGGTTGTTAGTGGCTGCGTTGACAAGGTTGCTTGCTGTGTGCGTATAACGCATTACTATGATGATTTTGCTGTCATGGACACATGCTTGGGAAAGGGCACGGCGCGTGTTGCGCTCTTGCAACTCGCCGACTTGTGCGGAGTCACCTTTGGCCAAGACAAGGGGCAACCAATGTGCCCACGGGCCACGTACATTGGGTGCTCAGTGGATGTGAGTCGAGTGTTCAGCCACGGCTTGCTTAAGTTGGACTGCAAGGAAGGCAGGCGAGAGAAGCTATTGGCCATGACTGCTGCTGTGGAGCACCATGGCTACTTGGACCCGGCCGTGGCCGGAAAACTTAGGGCAAAAGCTCATTATGCTGGCGTTGACCGGCCGGTGCCTCCGGGGTTGCGAGAACGCGTTAGCAGCAGTCCAGCATGGCCGCCTTCCAGCCCAAGTTGCGTCCCCTGTCAGTGAGGCTTTGCAGTTTCTCAGGCACGCCATGCTTTGCTTGCCTGGTCGAGAAGTGAAGTTGGCACCCCGTTTTGAGGATTGCGTCTTAGTCTACACGGATGCCATGTGGGAACCGCCAAAGCCGGCTGGAATGGCCTTTGTTGCATTCTGTTTCAAGTGGCCAGCTCCCAAATGTGCTTATTTGAGCGTACCGGATGCTTATCTTCGTTTGCTACTGCCTAGAAAGACTCAAACCAACCAAGCTGAAGCCTTGGCAGTTGCCTTGGTGCCAACAGCCTTGGGCGATGCACTTCATGGTTGTGACTTGCTGCATTTCATTGACAATCAAGGTGCCCTGTCAGCACTTATCAAGGGGTACTCGCCTAAGGAAGATTGTTCGGCCATTTGCTGCATGATCCACTTGCTGCACGCAGAATTGCAAACACGTGCTTTCTTCGAGCATGTGGAGAGCGCAGCAAATCTCAGTGATGCCATGTCGCGTGAAGGGTTGGCAGCCGCAAAAGATTCCCGGGAAATAATACCAGTCAGGCTGCCGCCAATTGAGTCTTTAACAGATCTCACTCTTGGCACACTGCTTCGGTCGTTTGGCAGTGCTTCAGATTGATTGCCCCCCCTCCTCACTGCGGAAAGCATAAGTTCACCTTCTTGTTTTCCACATTGGGCTTTTCTTTTCCACATTGGGAATTTTGCAGGGTGGTCACTCCTAAGGGGCAGCGTGGCAATGACATTCTTTCAACTGGAATCGTGGAAAACAAGGCGCTGTGAGAGCTGCTCATGTGCCTGGGAATTGCATTGTTTCATGGTGGGCAGGCCAGGTGAACAATAATTCCTTGTGCAAGCATGGCAACTCACCGCAGAAATCGGGCTGCAAGCCTTCTTTTTGATCCCCGAACTCCGTTCTTCCCGCGCCCCCCCGTTAGCTCCAGCGGGGCTTTCCTGCGTGGGGGTGGGGCTGGCTCTGCATTTCTTTTGCAGAAAGGGCAGACATGCCTGTCGCACGGCGCATGTCTTCCATTCTGGGAATTTTGCAGAGTGGTCACTCCTAAGGGGCAGGCATACCTGTCGAATGCCACATGTCTTCCCCCTCTGGATGGACCGTTGCGTGGCAATGACATTCTTTCAACTGGAATCGTGGAAAACAAGGCGCTGTGAGAGCTGCTCATGTGCCTGGGAATTGGTCTAAGGCTCTAAGGTTCAAACGGTGACTGTTTTGATAAACCGTTGGGGCACCCAATTGGTGGTTTGTGTTGGTGGTTTCGGTTTGCATATGACACGTGCCTAACCTCCAAACCACCACTGCGAACCACCAACTAGAGGGAAGCTGATAAGGGGTCATGGTCGAGAATTATATATTTGTGGCTTAGGACCACTTTCTGTTATGCAGTCCTCTTCAAAGTGCTAGTAACGGGGGTGGCTCCAGATGGTATCGCAGAATAGTTGATGGTCCCCATGGAATGTTGGCGACGCATCTGATGAGTGACCCATTAACCTCAGGTGACACCCTCTGAGTCGGCTGTGGTAATGGTAGTCTTCAACACAGCTAGAAACAAAGACGGGACGGGAAGCTTGGGTTGTGAACATATTGCAAGACAAGGCGGGTGTTTAGGTTGGGCACCAAGGGAATGCCCTTGTGATAAAGCAGCCGGGGAGTTCCCACGATATCACAGACGGATCGGCCATTGTCCACCTTGCAGAGCACTGACTCGCATGTTTCAGGATCAACCATTTTTCATTTGATAGGAACCGATTGTTGAACATAGTGCGGTTAGCTGGTCACGGGTATGAACCAATCACCCAATTGAACCCTCCCACGAACAAGCACAGCAGTGCACCCAGCCCATTTCCGAAAGGACAGTGGTCTTGCAAGTTCCGGCGTTTGTGTACCAAGCCATGCTTGAATTGGTGCGCCCTAAAAGTGGGGGACCTTTTCGGGTTGGGTTACTTCTTCTGGTTTCTCTTAAAAGGCTATCGAATGGGAGCACCCAACTTTTGGACATCATGTTGTTGTCAACCAATTGTTTGAATTGTTTCGTTGTTTTCCAACCAATGTTTGGATCTTTTTCTACCAACCATGTTTCATCAGCAGTTTTGCGTCCCAAACGATTTGTTGGCCCCTCGCATATTTGGACCCCGCAGTCGCAGCAAAACACCGCAGCTCCGCAGGAGCTTCGGGCGCATACATTGCTGGCGCAGTCGGAGGAGCACCCTTTGCTCCTCGACTTCGTCTCAACTTGGGTATTCAACAAACTCAGCAAGTAGGTTATGACCATGGTTATAAGGGGACGAACCCCAGCATAACCACTAGTTACAACCATGGTCATATAACCCACTTACTAAGTCGGCTGAACACCCAAGTAGTGCCTGTTCGTGCATATGCGTGACTTCCTTGGACGAAATTTTTGTGAATGCCATTCCCATGGCTTCCCTTGTGGCGCTGAATCGCTATTGGATGTTCATTGCACCTCGGGAGTCCTATTTCACCCGTTTTGGGTGGCCCGCTGCTTCTAGGGTATTCTGAGGGTTTTGCATGTGACGAGTATTCTGAGTATTCTTGGGGTTTAGTCTATCCAATTCTGGCCAGAATTGCAAAGTGGATTCTGCTTGAAGGCCGATTGGATTGAGGGTGCTTTTCGTGGGTTGATGTTTGCAGGGGAAATTCGGAAATGTAAGGAACCCTGTGTCTGAGGTGGTTTCTGCATGTGCTTGTCTCAGGTCCGCGACAGGGTACATTTGGGTTTGTGAAGCAACATGTTTAGGGGACCCCTTGTAAAGTGGGTTCATCGGGGTTCCTTTTTCGAACAGGTCGCCCCCACCCTCCAGAACGCTTCTTAGAACCCTCTACCCTCCAGAACGCTTAGAACACCTTCTCAAGTCCGAAGAACTTTTTCTGGGGTGGCGGGTTGGGTGTTCTCCTCTATTGCCAGACTTCTACGTCTACCCTTGTGACAGGTGTTTGGAGCAACCTTCAGACTCTTTATACCATCCATTGGTATTTGTCAGCGCGCTGAGGAACGCCAAAATCGAGGAGACGCATGGCCCCCAGCATGACGGGTCCCCTTCATCAGGTGGTCTATGTTGCTTTTTTGGTGACTCAAATATCTGCCGTTTTCTGGCTGGAGGGGGTAAAACGAGCTCAGTGAAAGGCAGTGATAAGTAGGGTTCCTGGCATGCCCCTTTCCTTGGCATCATCCATTTTTGCCAAGGAGACGCTCGATGTAAAAAATGGCCCGAAGGTGTTGTTGCTGCATGTTTCTTACAATAATTCCAACACTTGAAGTCTGAATTGTTGAGCCGGGGTTCTTGGAAGACTACTTCATCCAAACATTGTTTCATTCAACCAGTTGCAATTGGCGATAGCGACCCAACAGGCAGCCGAACGGAAAGCTGCCCGCTTCCCGGAAAAAGCTGAATTTGCGTGTTCGCTGCGTGGCAAAGTCAAGAGACTCCTCCCAAGAGGGTGCGGTCAATTCAACTTGGGCATAAAGATTACACAACAAGAGCTAATAAATAGCCAATAATCAAGTTAGGTGACAATTTATGAAGTCACAGACATCGCTGGTGCTGTCTACATGTTTTATTTGTTTGTTTGAGAGGCGCGGGGTGTGTGTTTTTCTCTGAAAGGCTCCAAAGCGCGCCTACCTGGTGACATCTGGTGACCCTTGTGGGGGAGCTTCCGGAGAAAACGGGACCTAAAAACCCAAACCCTCAGAGGGGTTGCTGAGTTTTAGGACTCATCACAAGATAAAGGATGGAGTTCCGTAGGGGGGGTACCCGGGCGGGGGGGGGATACCGGGTACATAATGGAACCCTAAGAAACCTTCGGGCTCTCAACTACCCACCCCCCTTGCACCTACCCCGCTTAGGGATTCCACAAGTAAACCAGGGGTCTTTACATTTCAACTCCGAAAGGATCAACCATCGCAGGGTGATCATTAAAGGTAATTCAAAGTTAAATGGTCCAATGTGTGTGTGGGGCCGGCAACTGCACTTTGCTTTGGCTGCTGTATTTTATTCTACGTTTTTTGTTGCTTTTTAGCAACCGGAGCCAATCAGCAGATCAGGTTTTGCTGACCCTGGAACAAGTTTTGCCACCTCTCCCTCCCCCCTTCCCGAGGCGCGAAGCACTGGCGCAGGTGAAGAACGCGCTCTACTCTGGAGCGCTCGGGAGAACCGTCCTTCCCTTTGCTCAATGCGTGGTCGTGTTTTGTAAAGGGTATGTGTGCGTTCCTTTGCTGAAGGCGTTCTTCGTGTTAAAATACTTATTGGCTTTCTCTAAGATGGCATACGTCGTTCCCCCTCTCGCTTGCGTTCAGTGGCAAAAGTCGCCTTGTTTCCCCTTGAAAAGCAAGTTGAACACAGTGCAAGGGTTCCCCGCTGATCCTTTGTTCAACACCAAGGTGGGTTTTTGGGCTGACTCGCGCAAAGAAACAACACCAAGTACTTGGTGTTCTAGGTGCACCTTTGTTTACTCACCAGGGTTGTCTTTGAGCTGAGATGTCCAAACGCAGTTAGAATTGTCTGCGCACCGAAAGAGACCAGTAGCGCGGTGGCGGTGCATCTCAGTGTTCCTGGGACTTTCTTCATCGCAGCCTAGCATTGGCCAAGATCAATGAAATTGGTGCATCCCCCCTACCCCAAATTGCCCCCTCTTAAGGTAGGGTTCATTGGCCAAGCCTCCATTTTGGGAATCCCTTGCATTTTTCGTACGATTCCCCCTTAAGGTAGGGAGGATAGGCCACGCCTCGATTCGTGTTTGTTTGCTACTTAGGTCCCCCGGTAGTGCCCTTTCTCAGCCCTTTTTTGGTTGGGAGGCTTCAACCCAACCAAAATAGACTACAGAAAAAAAAGTTGGTACCCAAAAATTCTAACCTCTCTACTGGAGGACCTACCTAGAGTCTCCATGACCCTGAAAAAATGGGTCCATGACCCCTTAATTTTGGGAAATGGCCCCATTTTTAAAGGTCATAGAGACTCCAGGTAGTCATTCTTTCCGGCTTCTTCGGATAGGACAGCTGAAGGGCAAGGGCAAAGGCCTGGCTCACCGAGACATCTCGCTGCACGTGCGGGACATCCAAAAGTTCGAGCAGCAGGCGGGCGCTCGATTGAGCGTCCGGGGTTTGGGTTGTCTCGCCTTTCGATCGCTCGGAGCGCGATCGGGAGAACCGCCTTTCGGATGGGTTCATGGACTTGAGTCACTTTTTGGGATTGGACCACATTCTTGGTAAGCGAAAGGCTTGGGGACTTGCGCTGGCAAATCAAAAGCGAGCCGGAAGGAAGTCAGACGGTCCTTGGCTTCCTCAAATCTATACAGCGACTCTAATTTGTGGTTGTTCCCACAAAATCCACTGGGGGTGGTGGGAACAGTGGGAACCAGCTTGGTATGCATGGGGATTAAAACCTGAGATGAATTGAATTGTTTGGTGCAGGTTGCGTGGGAATGTGTGGATGTACAAAATGATGCACTGGTTGGTAGGTGGTTCAAAGTATTGTGCAAACATATTTTTGTTGGACGTTTTTTTTTTGAATGAATCCAACATAGGGCGCCCTGCTTTGTTCCGTGCAACATCTGGAGGTTTGGGGGAAGGTCTGGGCGATGAATCTTTTGCCTCCCCCGACGAAGGATGTCCCGCCCCTACCCACCCATTCCACCCGCCCGTCATTCCCTCCCAACCTATGTTGCAGCCTAGTTCTGTGGGGTTCCTTTAAAACTTTTTTGGGGTTCCTGGCCACAAAACAAATGGATGTTTTGTTTTTTCCCCGCCCCCCCCCCCCATCCCCTCCACATGGTGGTGTTGCTTTTGGCTTCCCTTCAAAACCCAAGGGCGTCCACGGCATGCCCCAACCGCCCGTCTCACGACTCACCCGCGCGGCTTGAGGTCACTGCGGAGCTCCTGGACGCAGCGGAGGTGGTGTGCTCCACGCTCATCGGCTGCGGCGCGGACGCGCTGCTGCAGAGCAGCTTCGATACAGCCCCTAAGCGGAGACTAGGTCCCCCAGCAGTGCCCTTTCTTACCTCAGTGGGTTATAAGCGTTATAAGTCTCTGCTCAGTGGGTTTTTCTCATGTTCTTTACAGGCTTGGTCACCACTTACTACGTGCCCGATCACCCCTTCTAGGTCCCCCAGTAGTGCCCTTTTTCCATATTTTGAGGGTTCCCCTATTAGTATAGACTACAGAAAAAAGTTGGTGCCCTTATTCCAACCTCTCTACTGGAGGACCTACTGAGATGTCGGCTGGGCTTTCATATGGAAAGCACAAGTTGGAACCATCCATTTCGGGCTTGACCTATTTTGACAGACAGTCGACATACCCCAGATGTTCCTTTCTGATTGGTTGGAAGTTGGAAGTTCCAAAGGTCACCTTTTGGGCGCACTTGATTGGAGCTTCCTCATGTTTAGGTGACACCGCCCGGGGCAAGAGGACACTAGCATGTGCTATCCATTCTGAGCGCAGGTGAGTCTTTGGTGGGTCTTTCAGACAGCCAAGGGCTGGAGATCTCGACAGAGCCATGGAGCTCGAAAAATTGCTGGGCTTCCCAAGGCCGATTTTTCTGTCGTGGCGACCTGGTTGGTTTGAGGCATAGAAGTCACCCAAATTGATGTGCAGGCTAGGTGGTTCACTCCCTGAAAGCTTTCTCTGTGTCCTTTCTTGTCCTTTCTTCCTTTTTTTTTGTGGGGGGGGGAGGGGGGGTTGACTCATTGTGCAGGCCTGTATAGTCCAACATGGGAATCCACCATTTTGACCTTGGCACGGACAATTATCCTGTACTTATCCAATACGCCTTGGGGTTTGCTAGGGGTCGCAAGCAAATACACCGAAACATACTTGCAGAGTGAGAAGTGTCAAAAAACACAAAACGCTGGAAAAAGAACAATAGGGGACTCTCAGACTAAGTAGCGAAACAGCCGCAAGTAAGTAATTCGACCGTGCCTCATATCAACAAACAGAGAACATGGGTTCACACCAAAAGCTCACACCGGAAAGGGTGCTGGCTTTATGGCGGGGGGTTCGCATCACGGGTCCGTATGAGGTCATCATCGATGAGGCCTCACAAGCCACGGAGCCTCGGTGTCTCGTGGCTTTTCAGCCCCTCGGTGAAAGCCATCTCAGAATTGGCGGCTCGTGGTCTTTTGGTGGCTCGGTACCCGTTTTGAGGGGTTGCTTTAAAGGGAAGCCACCATGTTAGTCCCCTATTCTAAGACACTACCCTCGTTTTTGTTTAAAGGGAAACCAACTAGTTAAAACCACCATTTTGTTTTTGCCGTTGGGGGGGGTGCCCGAAAGCAGACGCACCCAAATAGCTGGCCGTTAATTAACATGCTTGGTTCCCCAATGATTCCCTTTGAAGGCCAAAAAGGAGGTCCACCATGACAAACACAAATCGTTGAAAGCTTCACTGTTCTGGACGTTGTCTTTTTTGTATGCCAAAAAAACATTGTGTTTGGCTCTTAGGTCATTTATAACATCACCCCTACCATCTGGTTAAGAGGATCCCGCTCTTGTGAAGCAAGTGACTTGTCAAAAGTATCCTTGAAGGAGCCCTGGCTCCTAAAACTGGTTGTCCCGACCAGTCGGCTCGTCATTCGGATCCCACCCCTCTAGTCCCTTTTTGCTTGGTGGATTCGCACCGAAAAAATCGAGTCGACCATTCACAAAGGGTTTTTTTTGGTCTGCGAATTCGATATGAATCCTTGGTGCTTGAAAACGCATGGTGTTGGTCTCCTAAGACTGGATCTCCTTTGTTGATTTTGGACTGCATGGCCTACAAAATGCTTGTATGGGCCATCATTTCAGAATAAAACATTGTCTGGTGGCAAAACACTGAGATGGAAGGAAAGGATGCACAACCCCCTTCGAGTAGGAAATTGGCCAATGGTTTTGCTGAACCCCCTTGTCAGTGCCACATTTCTATCCAAAGATCGGATCCAGCCAACTGCGGACTTCACCTCGGTCCAGAAACGACTTGATAGGGTTATGGACCCCTTTACCTATCTAGACAACTTCTGAGGGCTCCGATTTTTGTGGGGGAGAACATGACATTGCCTTCATTGGTGGTTCGAAACTTCTTGGGGATCCGGGTTCTAGGGGTTGTTGTATGGTTTCAAGGGGTCGGGGAGCAGTCGAATTAGGCCTGCCCAAAGGCTCCATGGCAATATTTGCCGGCACTTGCCCACAGCTCCTACCAAAATTGACAACAGGTGATCAGAGGGTATGTCGCCATGGCGTCATCAACCTCATGTTCGAGAGTGGGGTTTCAACAAAGGGTTCCCTCCGGCCAGTCTCCGGCCTGTCGCGTTTTTTTTTGTTTTTTCTCCTCGAGGAAAGCTCGGCAGCAGTTCATCATGGTCGGGGATCAGAAGCAGCTGCCGCCCGTGGTGCTGTGCCAAGCTGCGGAGCAGAAAGGACCGGGTTCGGGTGGTGGAAAATAGCTTCCATATTTTATTAATTGTATTTTTTATGTTTCACTGTTGGTTTTAAAAGGAATCGATCACTACTGGACATATATTTTAATTTTTTTCCAAAGGGCTGAAGCAAATGGAAGATAGGGTTCGGGTGCTAAAGAGCCCACAAGTTGTTCGCTTGCCCACAAGTTGTTCGCTTGCCCAACAGGAAGCCAAAAGCTGTCTTGTTTATGCGTCCCGACCCCCTTTAGAGAATGCCCTCCGTGGAAGCTGACATGTGTTTGTCAAACTACTTTCCTTTTGGGGACCCCCCCTGTCCACTTTGACTGGTGGAAGGAGGGTCGAGTTTTCGGTTGCCAGCTTCAGTGCCAAGGCAAGCCCAAGATAAGTTGCCATGAAAATAAACCACTTGAGTATCCTAAGTGTTATTGAATGTGGGGGGTCTCAGGCATGCACCCCCCCCCAACGAAAACAAAGAGAGGGGATGTTAGCAACCACAAGGAATGGCCCTGGCTCTTGCAACTAAAAGGATGGGCGGCCAAGCCGCACCGCACATGTTTTAGGAGGCTCTGAAACCATTTGGAGACGAAGCCAATTGGGACCTTACAAGTTTCGCCAATGATTTGTGTTGCTTGTGTCTAACAACAACGGGGGGAATGCCCCTCAACAACGGCTAAAGTCAAAAACAAGCATGTAACTGGCGGTGGGAGCGAACAAAGGAGGATTTAGACCTTTGGAGGATCATGGCAGTTCCCTTACGACCACTAATCAAAGGACACAACACCCAGCTCATCAGAATCAGATCCCTTGCAAAGTGCTCCAACTGATTCTTTAAGGGGGCGAAAGGCACACAAGTCCACCACCTGACCCATGTACTTCTCTCACCCCACCCCACTTTTGGTGGCCTCCTTGGATTCTTTTTTGGGGGTGAATCAACTTGTCCCTGCGGACGCGGCTGGCAGAAAGAGCCGCAAAGAGCCGGAGGACTGCGGTACTCCCTCTTCGACCGCCTGCTGAACTCCCCGTCGCTCTTTAACCAGGAGATCAACATGCTGCAGGCACGTTCCAGTGAGCCCCGGTTGCTCGATCCCACCAAACTTGGTGGCTGCCAGCCATCCCCTTAGCCCTTTAGCTGTTTAGTGTTTAGTGGGGATTTCCATTTAACAAACTAAAAGTTAAACTTTTAGCGGGGGATCTGAGGACAGACCAGCAAAGATATCAACCACTTTGGTTTGAGCGGGTCTGGACCCGCTTACAACTGATCAGCCCGAACAAGGGTCCCTTTTCTAGCCGGTCACTGGGCGGTGTTCCTGGCATAGTGGATGTTTCTTTGTCTGTTTTGATGTTATTTTGCTAGTTATATATATTTTGTTGTTCAAGGGCTTCTGACGGCTTCTTCACCTTCAGGAATGTTGTCCTGTGCTGGCTTTGCACTAGTTATAATTCAGACAATTCACCAATCAAAGTCAA